CAATTTCTAGCAATTTAAAGCAATTTCTATCAATTTCTAGCAATTTAAAGCAATTTCCATCAATTTAAAGCAATTTCTAGCAATTTCTAGCAATTCAAAGCAATTTCTATCAATTTAAAGCAATTTCTATCAATTTAAAGCAATTTAAAGCAATTTCTATCAATTCAAAGCAATTTCTATCAATTCAAAGCAATTTCTATCAATTCAAAGCAATTTCTATCAATTTAAAGCAATTTCTAGCAATTTCTAGCAATTTAAAGCAATTTCTATCAATTTAAAGCAATTTCTAGCAATTTCTAGCAATTTAAAGCAATTTCTATCAATTCAAAGCAATTTCTATCAATTTAAAGCAATTTAAAGCAATTTCTATCAATTTAAAGCAATTTCTATCAATTCAAAGCACTAGATTTCTAGAAAACAACTAAATCTCTTATAGAATTGATTTACTCTAGCATTGTCAATTGAATTAAACTATTCAATCAACTAACTGACATCTGAATTGAGCTTTAAAGTCCAAGCTATGCTGACTTTAAGGTAAATTTATTTGGAGTTTCAAGTTTATATAAGATAATCAACTATCAGATTGACCAAAAATTGAATAATCAAATTTTGAGCCAGTTATTCTAAGCTTCTAAGCTTAGAATTCAAAGCCTAAGCTATAAATTTAGCTAAACTAAACCTAAGCCTAAAACGATTCTATCCTCGAAATCGCATTTTCTTCTCATCTAATCTTATACTTATTTTTTTATAATATTTATAGCTTTGACGTCTTTCCATTTTTTTGTATTTGTAGAGAAAGAAAAAGTTATAAGAAATGGGGAAACCTTTGAAATGAAAGTGTTTATTTCAGCTTTCTTTCCAAACATTCATTTGATAAACCCGGAGAAACCATAGTTTAATGATGAGTAGTTTTTGAGTAGAATATTGCTGTCTAAAGATTGATGCAACCTTTAGATAGCAATATTCTTCTCGAAAACTTTCATCATTGAGTTTTCCCCTGAAAAGATTCAGTTTTTGTTTTTGTGATATTAGAGCTAATCATCAAAAAAATTGGGGTTTCTAATGGCGGTTATGCCCTTACGCCTTATGCCAGATCGCGAGCGATTACGCGCGCGCATAAAGAACAGATCTAAACCAAGAATTTCTTCTGTTTTGGCTTATGGCAGAGGGGTCTCGTCTTATGGGTCATCTCGGTTATGCCCATTGGGGTTATCCCCTTACGCTTTATGCCAGATCGCGAGCGATTACGCGCACGCATAAGGAACAGATCTAAACCAAGAATTTCCTTTGTTTTGGCTTATGGCAGAGGGGTCTTGTCTTATGAGTCATCTCGGTTATGCCCATTGGGGTTATCACCTTACGCCTTATGCCAGATCGCGAGCGATTACGCGCGCGCATAAAGAACAGATCCAGGGATTTCTTTTGCTTTTGTAAAGAAGTACCAAGATATTCCGTAAATTTGTACCCTTGAGTTTTCAAGGTCGGGGAATCGATTTGATCGATTTATCATTTCATTTGATATCATTTCATTCAATCGATTCATTTGGATCTACTAATTAAACCTTTAAAGGATGAGTGAGTTTAACAGATCTCCTGCCAACAAAGTTCACCGTCCACCGTTAAAAAGCCTTTACATTCGATTGCATTCAATCCCATTCCATTTCATTTCATTCCATTCGATTCCATTCTTTCATTTGATCCAACTTTTTGGTCTCTCAATCAACTCTTAATCCCACAAGTCACAAAATTAACTCAAACAAAAAAAAGTGACCAATTTCTTTAAAGTTTATTTTAGAAAACACACAATTTACGCAATTTTTAAGCCATTTTTTTGCTATTGTATTGGTCAAAAATAGAAATTTTGAGGATTTGAGAGGATAAAGAATTGGATAAGCTTTTCATTTTGATGTCATTGATCAGATCACTGAAAGCTTTTCATATTGATGTCATTGATGAAAGCTTCATATTGATGTCATTGATGAGGCCACTGAAATAAAGATCGTTTTAAGTTTAGGAAATGTGATGAAACTTGTAGAATTCTTTACACTTTATTCTCTACTCTCTAAATCATAAAAACTATTGATCCTTAACGTTTAAACTAGCTAAACTAGCGAAACTTTTCATTAGAGCTTTTCATTAGAGCTTTGAAAGTCACTAAAATGAAAACTGAGCCTTAAACCATTTTTGAAATCATCTCTACCTTTAAACAGCTTTCAAATTAATAAAATTTTCATCTTTCAACTTACAAAAGTTATTTCATTTTTCATTTTTACATTTAATGACTCATTTCCGAAGTTTTCTAATAGAAAAAACCGTTTTTCCAAACATAAAAATAGGTCTTTCATTTCTCGACAACCGGAGATTTTCTTCATTTCTTTTCTCTTTTCTAACTTGGCTCTTCTTTTTTTGATGCCGGGTACTTGTCGAACACAAATTTCTCCTCTTTTCCTATTTTCTTTTCCTTTTTTTTTCACAATCCTCGATTTTTCTGGATGACCTTGAAAACCTTTTGTAGGCAACAATGCTCCCTGTCGAATCTTGAAAAAGCCAAACTCAGGTTCTTTTCGAATTGATGTTTAGGAGAAAAAGAATCGAATTGAGGAGAACTCTTGAAATATTTGCAAAGGGATTTTCAAATATACCTTGCAATTGTTGAAAGTTCTGGGTTCATTTTCACAAAACTAGCAATTACCAATTGTTAAATCTATCAATTTGTGACTTTGATTGACTAGAAAAAGAAATACCGTATTTTCTCTAATAGTAGTGCACCCTGCCGAGTTGATGACTATTTTACGGTTTCCAAGCTTTTGCAGAAGCTCAACACTTGATTCCCCCACTAGATCTCATCGTCAGCTACATTTTCCGACCCCACATCGATAGGTTCTGATAAGCGGTTCTCTAGATGTCGAGGAATTTAGACGACGCTCAGGGTGCACTACTAGAGAAAATTCGGTATATTGAAAGCTCTACAAGATCTACAAAATCAAGTTAATGTCCGTGATTGTATGGTATATGTAGATCTATACTCAAATACCGTATACTCTCTAATAGTAGTGCACCCTGACGAGTTGATGACTATTTTACAGCTTCTAAAGCTTTCCCAGAAGCTCAACACTCAAATCCCCCACAAGATCTCATCGTCAGCTACATTTTCCAACCCCACATCGATAGGTTCCGATAAGCGGTTCTCGAGATTTCGAGCAATTTAGGCGACGCTCAGGATGCACTATTATTAGAGAGAATACGGTAGTAATAGAATTTGACCTAGATAACTGGATATCTTTTAAATTCTTTCACAGAAAGATAAAAATGATTTCTCTCTATACGGTAACTTTAAAAAAACAAATTTAATATCATATTCTTTATTGTCGAAGAAAATGACATAAAGCTATCCTCCTAAACCTAAGCCTTTGCTTTTGAACATTGTCATCAAAACTAAACAAAGCTAAACTAATCTAAACTCTCAGCTTGATTCATTTCAAGCTTATATAATAAATTTCTCAATAATTTTTCAATTCTTTTAAACAAATTTAACTTATTCTTTCAATAATAATTTTTAATAGTTAACTATTAAATATATTAACTATTAAACTATTAAGCAACCTGTAACTATTAAACAATAATTTAGCCAAAAAAAGCAAATTTATAATTCAACAATAATTAACAAAAAAAAAACGCTTTTTCATCTATAATTTTCATTAAACCATACCAATTGAAAGTTTTAATCAAAAAAAAATTTCTTTTTTTTAACTCAAACATCTATTTGGTTGAGCCGATCGTTTTTTGGCTCTAAAATGATTCACCCATTCAGTCTAAACAATTTTCTTTATCTCTCGTGAATCCTAAACAATGAACAACAATAAATGAGCATTATGCTCGCACGCTACGGAGCTCTTTTTTTCTCTTCCCTTCCATCATATTGTTCTTCATTTCTTTTACACTTTAAAGATTTAATCTTTAAATATAAACTAGAGTAAGTCTTGATTTCTAAATATTAAATAAAATAAGGATTGAAAAGAGTAAATAAAGTAAATACTGTAATAGTACCCCACCGCCCATAATGACGGTGCGGAGTGTTGGGTAGTCTAGCTTTGAACGAGTTTTCCTCGACACTGGTTTATGCTACAATGTGCGTTAAGATATCAAAAAATAGCTGAAATTCAGGGCTATTTTTTGATACCTAAGCGCGCATTGTAGCATAAACCAGTGTCGAGAAAAACGCTGTCAAAGCTAACCTACGAAACACTCCGCACCGTCATTATCTTTGGTATCAAAAAATAGCCCTGAATTTCAGCTATTTTTTGATACCAAAGCCGTATTTTTTGAAAGCACGGGCGCTTTGAAAAAAATGAAATACTAAAAAACTTTTGCGACTACGCGACTGTACGAGGGGGTGGGGTATTATTACAGTATTTACGGTAGCTTTTCTCTTAATAAAGACTCTCATCATCTCGATTTATTTTAAAACATTGAAATAAATCTTTCTCATTGTTGAATATATATAATTATCTCCGTCTCTCACACCAAAATAACCTCTACAAGTATTTTCTTAAAACAAACATAATGATAGGTCTAAACATTGCTCAGGTACACTCACAATCTAATCTAGCTTTTGATTTCTTCAAAAATTCTCTATTTTCTGTCCTTTTTTTTCTTTTGTTTCATCGATTTATTAAAATTTTTGATTGAAAAAACGCATGAATAAATGCGTTGAACGAAATGAAATCTCACCTGTTTAATAGAAATTTGTGTCATTGAGGAAATTAATTTGTCTTTACACGAACTTATTTCTTTTGCTTTTGGGACAATAGACGTTTTCTAGACTAACCTTTTTCTTAAACCTTTATATATTTTGTTTTATATTAAAATTTTCTACTTTTATTGCTTTAATTGGCTATTTCAGTTCTAAAGAGTGATACAATCAATTTCAAGAATCAATTTCAGAAAGAAAAACCATCTTGTTGAAGAGCTTAGATTTTGTTACGATCGCGTCAAACCGAATGGTAATGGCAGAACTCAAAGTGAGTGTTTGAATATTGTATTTTCTTTAATAGTAGTGCACCCCGGCGAGTTGATGGCTATTATACAGCCTCTAAAGCTTTCCTAGAACCTCAACACTCTAATTATCCGCAAGATCTCATCGTCAGCTACATTACCCAACCCCACATCGATAGGTTCTGATAAGCGCTTTTCGAGATTTCAAGCAATTTAGGCAACGCTCAAGGTGCACTACTATTAGAGAAAATACGGTAGTAGATTTTATAGACAATCAGGTACAGACTTTAGATTGATACATGGAGATTACACATAGACACTGGGTACTATTATAATTACTATTACAGAATTTAAGTACTGTAAAACAGTTCGAGCGACTTTAAGCATCTCTCTAGTATCTGGGCATCAAATAGATATGATTTTTAGACTTTTACTGTAAAGAAATGCTTCTATTTCTATTCAAAATCGATTCAACAACAATCAAAATCTTTTCCAGATCGATATTTCCACAACTCCATCATCCGTTTCCTCATTCCCCACTCCACCACCATCATCTGTTCCCGAAGCATCAAGATGGACTGCAGCTGAAAGAAGAGAATTCGGAACTGATCGAACGCCAAGTGGAGAGAAAATCAAGCGACCAATGAATGCTTTCATGGTTTGTTTCAAAGAAAAAAGTGTATTTTCTTAGTTTACAGGAACTAAGAGAATACAATTACAGTTTACAGGAACTTTTGTAAACCTATGAGTAAAATATTTTAAATTTAGCCAATTTCACCTTTCTTAAGCTCTATTTCTAAAGAAATTAGAAGCCAAATTTAAAGATCTTTATCAAATTAATCTATTTACGTAAAAAGCACTAATCTCTATAAATTTCTAGATAAAAAAAAAGTCATCAAACGTCACTCTTTGATCTTTTTCAAATCAAAAAAAAGTTCAAATTACTACTTTTCTTTCAATTCTAGAGAATCCTTATTTAATTGTGCCCATTTTTTTTTCACAATAATCACAATTGATCTTTTCAGCAACTTCAATTCTAAGAATTCCATTTAAATACTCCCTTTGATAATTATGATTTGCAGATCTCTTTAAATCTTTAACAATCGAATTGTACCCGCGAATCAAGGATTGAATTGAGATTCAATTGTGAACTCAAAGAAAACTTGAAAACTTTTCTTTTTCATAATCCTTTTAAGCTTAAATAATCATTAACACATTGTTTTCGAATAATTGAGGATTAAGATCAAAAGAAATATTTTCAAAAGGATTCACGGATAATTGCAAAAAGTTTTGCGAGTAGGATTTATAGCAAATGAAATCTTGATTCACATTCAAATAGAGTCAAACAAAGAGAGATCAAAATTTCGTCATCATGTGGGTGGGAATTGAATTGAAGGAAAGACAATTGAAAGCATTTTATGTTTTTAACTTAACTCATTAATTTGGAACTTGAAAAACTTGAAGATTAGAAGAATTTGATATTAGGGACCTTGAAAAATGATTAAAAGATTGGAATTGACTTCGATTTTTCTGTCTGTAAAGATTTCTGTGTACTGTAAGCTTTTCATTTACTACTGTAGAATTCAATATTAGGGACCCTGAAAAATGATTAAAAGATTGGAATTGACTTCGATTTTTCTGTCTGTAAAGATTTCTGTAGACTGTAAGCTTTTAATTTACTACTTTAGACTGTAAGCTTTTCATTTACTACTGTAGAATTCGATATTAGGGACCCTGAAAAATGATTAAAAGATCTGAATTGACTGAGATTTTCCTGACCTAGTTTGTAAAGACTTCTGTGTACTGTAAGCTTTTCATTTACTACTGTAGCCAGTTTTGAATTGATCGATTTAATAAAGAATAAATGTTTTAACGAATTCTAGGTCTGGGCTCAAATGCGACGAGCTGAAATCACAGCAAACTCGACAAAAGTTCACAATTCGTTGATTTCGAAAGCTTTGGGAGTCGAATGGAAAACGATGAACGATGATCAAAAAGAGCCTTTTGTACAAAAAGTGAGTAAAAAATTTAAAAAATAGCTCTAATTGTAGAAAAAGTGATTGAAAAAGTGTTAAAAGTAGTCTAAAAAGTGGTTCAAAAGTGGAAAAATTTAATGATTGATTGTTTAATGTAGTCTAAAAGTTGTTTAAAGCTGTTTTTGTTGTTGTTGTTGTTGTTGTTGTTGTTGTTGTTGTTGTTGTTGTTGTTGTTGTTGTTGTTGTTGTTGTTGTTGTTGTTGTTGTTGTTGTTGTTGTTTAAAGTCTAGAAGTTGTTTAAATCAAAGCTCTTGTACTAGTGATAGTAATGAAAAGAAATATCGAATAATTTTAGGCAAAAGAACTTCGAGATGAGCTTTTCAAAGAGCACCCGAACTATGTGTATCGCCCAAGAAAGAGAAAACGAAATCCTGGAGATGGACCGTCACCAAAACACACACCGCAACCAATTCACAGTCCTGGTGATCACACATCCGGATCGGAACAGGTAAAGGCTTTAATTCTAAACAATTTAAAAGAAAAAAGTTCGATCTTAATTCGAATTTATAAAACAAGCTATTACAAGTATCAAAATTTAATAAACATTTCATTTTAAGCTACTTTTTCTTTGATTAAGACAAGCAATAAAGTTACTCTCTCCTTCACTCGATTCATTTAGATCTGAGACTGACAGTTAGAGTCAACTTTTCCATGGACAGGTTTCCATGACAGTTAGAGTCAACTTCCAATCTCCCCAAGTACCAAAATTTAAAAAGCATTTCATTTTGAGCTTCTTTTTTCTTTGATTAAGACAGGCAATAAGTTCAGATAGAACTTTAAAATAAAAGAAAAACAATTTCAAGTTAACATAGTCATAAATGAAATATGAATTGAATATAGCTAAATGCAAGTAGTCTATGCCACAGAATACCATATTACAGAAAGAGAGAATAGAAAGTATTACCGACTGGATCTAGACACATTCTTCGATCATTTTATTATCGATTTTCAATAACTTTTCACTCATTTGAGATTGATTTCGATAGATTAATGACTCTTAAATTTCAGACAAGTCCAGCCTCATCAGGGAAATCGGAAGCCGAGCTTGGAGGACTTCCAATCTCCCCACTTCTCCTCTATCCATCACTTGTTTCTTTATTGCCTTCACTTCAATCATCTCCACTCCACTCATTCACCCAAACCCTCCCCGTTCTATCTGGACTCAATTCAAATCCACTGCTTCTCAATCAACTCCTTTATACACAAATGCTAGCTGCTGCTTTGCCACAACGTTAGATGTGTGGCTGAAATTGAGATGAGTACTTGATTTGGTTAAAGAAATCACTTTGATAGTAATTTTGAAATGGTTGAGCGAACTGAAAATCTATAAACTGAATGAAAAACTGATTTACAAACTATTTGTAAACTGATTTACAAATTGATCTATAAACTATCTATAAACTATCTATAAACTGATCTATAAGCTATCTACAAACTGATTTACAAACTGACCTACAAACTATCTACAAACTGAATGACAAACTGATCTATAAACTATCTATAAACTGATCTATAAGCTATCTGCAAACTAATCTACAAACTATCTACAAACTGTATGATAAACTGATCTAGGTTTTAGCCTACAGAATCAAAAGAATCCTCAGCCATTTCTGAATCAAAATCCCAGACCAAGTACTCAGATCTTGTTCATTTCCTTTTTCCAGCTTCAACTCCTGTATTTTCATTTCCTCAGGCATTTCCGTATCTAGAAGACGTTAGAAACATTTCCCTTTATTCCCCATCTTGTTCAAATGATTCGCTTTATAATTCATTTTCGAGAAGAACGCATTTCAACGCTTTGTACTATGAGATTGCCATTCCCCAATTGGATTGTCAAATTCTGCCATTCTCCAATTCGAATAAACCCCCACAAAACACAAAATTAACTCGGATCAATTTGATCTTGGAAGTGGCGGAAGTTTAAACTCATAGTACCCAAGGTTTGTTGGTGATAAGCTGAAGATCTTTGTTGTTGGTGATAAGCTGAAACCTTTCTATCGTAACTCTCAAAGCCATCATGTGCTCTTATCTACCGTAATCATTAGTTCATTCAATTCATAGAGTTACCAATGATCGACCTTTCACCAACAAGCTCGCTTTCTATTCATTGTCAATCCCCCAAACTCTCAAAGCTATTATAAAAGCTATTATCTAATCTACAATAATCAATTCTGGTACAAATAATTTCCAATTCTAAATTCTCGAAATTCTTCCATATCCCTCAACGTTTCCTATTTCACTTTCTTTTATCTAAACTTTAAAAATCTTATTTTTCTATTCATTATTAGATCTCATAGGTAATGAGCATCAAAATCGACCAAAAACATTTCAAAAATCTAAATGCATATCCCTTCCCTGCTTTCTTTTGCTTAAAATTTCATGAATTTTCATTTTCTTTCCTTTTTTTGCCTTTTTTTGTACATTTCTATATACTTTTTATTCATTTCTTTTATTCATTTCATTTCTTTTACTGGCTCGGGTGTGATTTTTTTTATCTTTTTCGTCTTTTTCTTTTTTTGATTCTTATAAAATACTGTCCTTTTCTTTATTGTTTGTATTGTGAAAGTTTTTTATACACAAGATGAATAAATTTACTTTTTTAACAAGATGAATATGAAATTTTAACAAGAGAACAAGATGAACAAGATGAAAACAACAATGAAACAACAATGAAACAAGAAACAAATAAAAATAAACGAATTGATTCAAAAAAATGTTAACAATAAAGTTCCTGGTAGACTTCGGAAAACAAAACTTAACCAAAACCAAAACCACCAAAACCAAAACCAAAACCAAAACAAACCAAAACCAAAACCAAAACAAACCAAAACTCGTCAATATCTCGCGACTGGGAGGAGCTAGCGAAAATCTGTTTGCAGATTTGAAATCAGCATCCAAAAATCTATCACATAGGCTATTTTTTGTTTCGAAATTTCGAGGTCGTGTTTTGGTCCTTTTTTCGGCCGCGAGATTTTGTGGAGTGAGAAAAAGTGAAAGGCAAATTGCATTTTACAATTTTAAATTTACATGGTAATTTATATGCAAATTGTGTTTTGGTTTGTTTTGGTGTTTTGGTTTTGGTTTTGGTTTGTTTTGGTTTTGGTTTTGGTTTTGGTCTGTTTTGGTTTTGGTTTTGTTTGCCGAACTCTAGTTCCTGGAATTCCTTGCATTCTTGTCCTAAGCAAAGGTATTGTCAATGTCAACGATTTGGCTTCCATTTGGACCATGGTAACACAATTTTTTCGACTTTTAGCAATTGTAGTCAATTGTTTAGCAGCTTTATCAACCATCTGGGCAACTGAAATAGGTTATTTCAGTTGCCATTTCAATAGGTTATTATAGAGCACGTGTGGCTGACTGGTTAAGTGTCTTTTATCTTAATCGGAAGGTCGAGGCGTTCGAACCCCACATGCGACATGGTCACCCCCTTCGGATTTCCTTTCCCTTCGGGTTGAGAGGTTTTCTGGAGGGCAGTCTGGTGGTTGTGGCCCCAGTTCTTTAAAGTGACAAGCCACTCCTTCATCGTCATCTTCCCTTCACCACCAAAAAAGCTGTTTAGTTCCCCATTGAGCTTAGGGTTAGGGAGCCGTCTGTCATGACGTGGGTTAAGTTAAGATATAGCCTAGTATTGTGTGTGTCGTTGTATTGTGATTGATATATTTCGTGTATGCGATAAATTCACCACTGGTAGCCCCAGTCGGTATTTTTTTTTAAATTACATATGAAATTTACCTTTACACTTTACCAAAAGCCTTGACTTTCTCATTTCTCATCTGTTTTACGATAAAATTCTCTAACTTTTTGATATAAGTAAACGCTAAAAATATAGTATCTAATAATGTAAAAAGTGGTTATCTTGATGCCGAAAGACGGATTTTACGGGCGTACAAAAGTTGTTACTCTTCCAGCTGATCGTTCTTAGCCGATTCACCACAGAAAGGGCTCATATTTTAGTGTTAATGTCTCTCATGTGTCTATTATATAATTGCAAAAACAATTAAAGAAACCCATGGTGAAATAAGAAAATTAAGGCATGGTAAAGTCGCGAAAATTCGAAATTTTTCTGGTTTTTTTGAATTCGGCTCTCGATTCGATTTTTTTGAATTCGGCGCTTCCAGAAGGGGACCTTTTCTCATACGCCAACTTTCCGTCAACTCATACGCCTCTAAAAACTCCCATAGTTTCTTTTTTAATCTTTTTTAGTTATTAAATTGTGGAACCTTTTGCTCGTGATATTCCCACCTTGGCTAGATTTAAAGCCGCAATTTCGACTTTAAATCTAGCCAAGTTTTTGTTTTGAGTGATGTCCTTGGTGATTATTGTGCTCTTGTTTTGTTTGCTCTGTGATTCTTTCTTCAGGTATCTTTTTATCTTGCGTGTGTTTTGAGTGATGTCCTGGGTGATTATTGTGCTCTTGTTTTGTCGCTATTCAACTTAATAAAGCAAATATATTTGCAACAATCTAATGTATGGTGTTAGCTGGAAATTAAAAACGTCAAAAGCTAATTCACCTGTTCAATGGAAATTTGTGTCATTGAGAAAATGATTTTCTCGAAAATTCTTTACGCGAACTTATTCCTCTTGCTTTTCCAACGAAAATAGCTCAGACAATTTCCAGACTTTTTGAGCAGACCAGATTTTTCTTGAACCCAGATTTTCACCTATTAAACTTGGCTATAAGAGTCTTTAACTTCATAGTTTTATAAGCTACAGCAATAATAACAATAAATATAATAAACAAACAAAAAACAAGCATAAGAAATTACAAATTATCGAAAATAGTCAATTTGATGTGATAAGCATAATAAAAGATAAACCCAGCCTATTAAAAGATCAGCAATAAATCGGCAACTTTGGAAAAGGAAAAGGAAGACTTTGTGATTAGCCAAATGTAGAATAAAGATTAAAATAAAGCTGTGAATTGGTGGGAGAATGAGGAGAGGCTTGAGAAAGAAGATCATAATGTTTGTCGATGTTGAAGCACTGCTTGAAGTCCGACTCCTGCTGCTCCGACATTCCGAAGATCGCTGAAAAGAATGATTTAGCATAAAATTCACATTTAAACAGTTTTGAAGCTTATAGTTCTTGTGTATTAGATTTCGTAAACCGTTGGTCTCAAAAATAGTCATGACTATTCACCGATAATCTATAATTGCTTGTAACTAGAGTGTGTTCCTCGCGAGTAAGTAATTACTCGAATAAATTTTCATGTGTAATAGCTCGAGTAATGCGTTTTCTAAAAAATTGCAACACTTCTGTCGTTTATACAAACCTTGTTCATGATCTACCGTAAATACTGTAATAGTACCCCACCCCGATAATGACGGTGCGGAGTGTTGCGTAGGCTAGCTTTGAACGAGTGTTTCTTGACACTGGTTTATGCCACAATGCGCGCTTAGGTATCAAAAGATAGCCCTGAATTTCAGCTATTTTTTGATATCAAAGACGCTTTTTTGATACCAAAGATAATGACGATGCGGAGTGTTGCCTAGTCTAGCTTTGAACGAGTTTTTCTCGACACTAGTTTATGCTACAATGCGCGCTTAGGTATCAAAAAATAGCTGAAATTCAGGGCTATTTTTTGATACCAAAGATAATGACGGTGCGGAGTGTTGCGTAGTCTAGCTTTGCACGAGTGTTTCTCGACACTGGTTTATGCTACAATGCTCGCTTAGGTATCAAAAAATAGCTGAAATCCCGGGCTATTTTTTGATACCAAAGACGCATTTTTTGAAACTACGGGCGCTTTGAAAAAAATGAAATACTAAAAAGCTTTTGCGACTACGCGACTGTACGAGGGCAGTGCGGTACTATTACAGTATTTACGGTAGGTCAAATAAAGAAATTTGGGATATAATCTCATTATAAACTTTTAGTGCTACAATCAAGAGATTCCGCATGGAATACTTGTAAATGTCCAGGCTGGATTTGAAGTTATGCTGATATTGGGTCGATTTGTCGAGAAAATTGCAAGTGTTGCTGGAGTGTCGCCTGCGCGAAAAAAAAATCTAAAAGCAATTTTTTGTGCAGGTTTTTTCAAAAGATCATTCCATTACATTGGAAGGGAATTTCCCCACCAAATCAGTTAAACGGCTGAGTATCTTTAAAAAGTGTCGTATATAATGGGCAGCTATATAATGGGCGGGGACAAATGCGACCTTTTTTTTTGCGCACCTGGACATTTGCGCACCTTTTTTTTGCTGGAAAAGGCCTTAGGAAAAGTCGTAGAGCTGTTGTTGTTGTTGTTGCAGTTGTTGCAAATCGATCGAATAGCTTATCATCATCGGAAAGCGAAGACGAAGAATTAGCCGACATTGTCAAGCCGATTTTTCGAAAAGATGCATATCGTCGTTTCCAAGTGCTTCGAAGCTACGTCAAACAGAAAGCTGATGGAAGAATTGTTAATGCCGGGGTGGGACAAATGCTACCTTTTTTTTGCGCACTTTGTGTCTTTTTTTCGCTCGAAAAGACCTTAGGAAAGGTCGTAGAGCTTCAAAAATGTTTCCATAGAAGGGAATCGTATGCGTAGATTCCGAATTTCGACAAATCAGACCTCGCTGACACGTCAAATTCGGACTAAAAGGCAAAAACTGCGGAAAAGCGTTAAGTTGCGTAGTTTTTGCCTTTTAGCCCGAATTTGACGTGTCAGCGAGGTCTGATTTGTCGAAATTCGGAATCTACGCATACGATTCCCTTATATGGAAATATTTTTGAAGCTCTACGACCTTTCCTAATGCCTTTTCCAGCAAAAAAAAGGTGCGCAAATGTTCAGGGTGCGCAAAAAAAGGTCGAATTTGTCCCACCCCCATATTTTCGCTTTTTTGCTAAAAGTACGGTAATTTTTTCAAAGTGTGCGTTTTAAAAAACGCATTACGCATTCCAGTTCTACTTTTAACTGTAAAATCATCTTTCTCCTCTAGACAATTTCAAACTCAAGACAACCTTGCATTATCATTTTCTCTCTAGACATTGTACTTCCTGCTTCTTGAGATGGATTTTGGAAAAAATGGAAAAGAAAACCACTAATCGAGAGAGATCAATAATATCTCTACCCTTCAGTTTCTATTACTTGCTTATCAATCTCTCGTTTTCACTTTTATACTTTTCGAAAAGATAGGTCTCCTTTTTTGAAATGAAATCCCCGAAATTCCTGATCACTTATATTTCTTTAAGCTAATATTATATAAGATTTCGTTTCAGAAAATGCAAATCAAAGTGATTCCAGTCTCGGGAACGCCCGCTTCAATAGAGATCGAGCCAAAATCAATCAGCAGTGTCGATGTGGAGATCAATGCTAACGGTACTGGATCAGCGAATTGTTAACTTTGAAAACGATGAATCGAAAGCTTTATTTTCTTATGCTTAGTTCATTTAAAACCTTTCTCATGCAAGTCTTGAACCATTAAACTTGTTTTAAAACCCATCAAAGTATAGTTAATCAGATTACAATTTTGTTTATTTTAAGGTTATTGTTAGGATAACTCTTATAATAGTAAATACAAAAGTTAACAGATTCTCACATAACAAAACTTTCATTAAATCCTTTATCTGCTAAATTACAGATGCAAACACTGGAACAAACATTCATTTTGGTGTACAGCACAGATCAACAATGAGATTATGGATTAGTTCAAGTCGGGGAAAAGCTTTTCCTATCGATGTCTATGCAGTTGATCCAATCTATTCAATTAAAGAAAAGATTAGAGAACGAGAGAAGCTTCTCATTGCACAACAAAGATTGACTTTTGAAGGTAACAATACAAGTAGCTTTAAAGTAGCTTTAAAGGCTTTAAAGTAGTTTTAAAGTAGCTTTTAAAGGCTTTAAAGTTTAAAGCTTTAAAGTAGCTTTAAAGTAGCTTTAAAGCTTAAAAATCTCTAAACTTTCAAACAATTTTCAGGTTTGACTCTATCGGAGAACTATGATTTGATTGGTGGCTCGAAATTGAAAGAAAACTCTGAAGTGCAACTGAACTCTAGATATGGTTATTTATTCGATCACACCAGTGGATCTCAGCAAGTAATACAGATTTTTTAAAGTAATAATCTAACAACTAAACTCCTGATTTACCATTTTCCCTTTAGATTTTAGAAAACTCAACTTGTACAAATGTTTTCTTGATTCAAAGCAATTGAATTTTTCAGAGGCAAATTTAAAAACTCTTTCCAAATGTTATTTCTAGATTTTTATAGAAATATTATCATTCTACCTCTAGCTTTTCAATTCTATTAAAAAATACAATCGGTACATTCGGTATAAAACTATAAAACTATGAACTTCAAGACTCTTATAGCTAAGTTTAATAGGTGAAAATCTGGGTTTAAAATCTCAAAATCAAAATTAACAAAATTAAAACCACTTAAAATTCAGATGGTTCGTGTTTATGTGAAAGTAAACTCTCAAGATCATATAACTCTCGATGTTAGCGGTCTTTCGGCACAATCACTTGAAATTGAATGTATTAAAAGTGGTTTGAAAAAAGAAAAGTAATCTATAATTGAGCTTAAATCTTTAGCCACTTCATCGAATCTTAATGTTCATTGTACTGTTCGAGAATTTCCTTTATTGAAGATTTATGTCGAGAAAGAGGATGGATTGAGACAACTTTATGAAATAAAACCCCGACAACAAGTGATTGCTTTGAAAGAAATGATCACTGAAAGGGAACCGAGGATTATTTTGCTAGCACAACAGAGATTGTTCTTGGATGGTGAGTGATTTTGAGAGAGTGCAGAGTATTCTATTGTACTGTTCGAGACTATCAACAAGACTTGAGAACTTGTAGCTAAAAAGGTTAATAATCTTATAACTAGAGTCTTACTTTTCCCCAATCTCCTCCAGAAGTCAATTACAAGTGGGTGAAGAGAGGGAATAGGAACACTTCAAAAAGCTTCATTTGTTGAACTCATTGAACAATCAGACTTTGATTACTTTTAGATTACTTTTAGATTACTTTTAGATTACTTCTAGATCACTTTTGATTACTTTTGATTACTTTTGATTACTTCTAGATCACTTTTGATTACTTCAAGATTACTTTTAGATTACTTTTAGATTACTTTCGATCACTTTAGATTACTTTGATTACTTACTTTGATTCTAGTTGTTCTTTCATTCCAAAGAAGATTTGATTCTACCTTTAAAACACCAAGTTTTCTCTTGACTTACTGTACTAGTGTGTAGTCAAAGAAGTTTTTTAGTATTTAGTCTTTAATCTTTTTAAAAGTGTTCTTACTTTCAAATAGCGCTGAATCTCAGCTATTTTTTGATATCTAAGCGCACATTGTCGCTTAAGCCAATATCAAGAAAAACGAGTTCAAAGCTAGCCTACACAACACTCAGCACTATGGGAATGGGTCACTAAGTATTTTACTATTAAGTACAGTTATTAAGTACCAAAACTTTCAAAAACTACCGAAGACTTAGCTCTTTTTAGTTCAATATCTTGACTTTATCATGATTCGATTCTCCGTTCTCTCTAGTTCTTTAAAACTTTTCTTTTCCCTTGATTTTTTCTAGAGATTTTCGATTCTAACCTTTTCAGGTTCTGAACTAGCTGATGAACGAACATTTGAATCATACAATATCCTCAAAAACACCACTATTCAACTTCAAAAGACACAACAATGGGAATCACAGTTTGAAGATTAAAATTTTGTAGACTTTTTAGATTAGATCTTTTTTTGTTTATTTCAAAACTTTGTACTGATGAGATTCAATAAAAAAAAGTTACCCTGAAAAACCCGTACAAAATAATTAAACACAAAAAAAAGCTAAAAAACCTATTGTTATCGAAAAATTATTTTAATAAAGAATCCAATTCAGATCCCATAAAAGAATATTCAGTTTTTTGTGATTCGATTTCGAATTTCTCGTGATTTTCATGCTTTACTGCTTGCAAATAGTTGAAGTAACGGCAGAAAGTGAGCTGAAAACAAGAATAAAGTAAATACCGTAGTGCAGTAAATACCGTCTAATAGTAATGCACCCCACCGAGTTGATGACTATTTAACGGCTTCCAAAGTTTTCACAGAAGCTCAACGCTCAAATCCCCCACTAGATCTCATCGTCAGCTACATTTCCCGACTCCACATCGATAGGTTCTCATAAGCGGTTCTCGAGGAATTTAGGAAACGCTCAGGGTGCACTACTATTAGAGAGAACATGGTATATTGAAAGCTCTACAATATCTACAAAGTTAAGTTAATGTCCGCGATTGTATGAGATGTAGATCTATACTCAAATACCGTATTTTCTCTAATATTAGTGCACCCCGGCGAGCCGAGTTAGTGACTGTTTTACGGTTTCCAAAGTTTTTACAGAAGCTCAGCACCCAAATCCTTCACTAGATCTCATCGTCAGCTACATTTTCCGACCCCACATCGATAGGTTCTGATAAGCGGTTCTCGAGATTTCGAGGAATTTGGCGACGCTCAGGGTGCACTACTATTAGAGATAGCACGGTAGATTAATTCTAAGTGAATTTAAACATCTAGATCATCAGAATATCTTACTTGACTCCAAACAATCGTCACCATTGAGAGCAACGCTAGTGCTACATTATAGACATGTGAGGGAACTTCGTGAACTGAAAAATTTCTCTTTCTATTAGGTTGGTGCAGATGAAACTTCCGTCACACTTGTTGGTTTATATTTTGAACCTTATAAAAGTTTTTATTGAAGATATTTGTCTATCTGAAAGAGCGTCTCTTTCCGCGTCTTTTGATATCTAAGACTTATGCGTTTTACTTAATTTGAAGTAATTTTTAGCTTCTAGAAAATGGTTGACGAAAAATTTCGAGTGCGGGTTTGCTTGTTGTATGATTTTAAACAAGGCAGAACGCCTGCGGAATCTCTGTGCAAAGCATTCGGCGATGTCGTGTTGTCCGAACGTCAATGCCGGACTTGGTTTCAGCGCTTCCGAGACGGTGATGAGGTTTGGAAGACGAAAACGCGAAAACGATGAGTTGAAGAACGCTATCGAATCGGATCCATGCCAAACAACTCGGGGCTGCAGGCTGTTTGACGCGACCAACAACCAATCTCCGCCATTTGCACGCAATTGGTAAGACGAACGGTGTGGAAAATGGGTGCCCATCAGCTCAGCGACGCAAACAAAGCGACTCGGCTACAATGGCTGGAATTCTCGTCCGCCGCGCAAAGACCGCCGGTTTCTCGACTCCATTGTTACGGCAGATGAAAAGTGGAATGTTACGACAACACAACGAAAACGGCGTGGTTGGACGCCGGGAACCGCCAAAACCGACCCCAAACCGAATACCACGGAAAAAGGTGAGCTTGTATTGGTGAAATAGTAAAGGTCTCGTGTATTTTGGGTGCTGGATTCGGGCCAAGAGTCACGGCGGATCTCTACAAAGCCCAATTGAGCCGCGCGGACCAGGCATTGCGTCGCAAGGTAATAACACGGCGACTACAAAATTCCCCACGAAACCCGACCCCACACCGCAAAGACACCAGCAGAAAATCGAGGAATAGGCTGGGAAGTTCGCCTCACCGCCATATAGCCCGGACTGGCCCCACCGACTACCACTTGTTTCGGTCGAGCAGCACCTAGCAGAAAAAATCAAAAACCGCGAAGAGGAGACTGGGTCCAACTCTTCAGCCGGCCCGGTTCTCGAAAGGGCACCACCGCGTGGAAGATGGCAAAGGCTGATAATGATGGCGAATATCTTTGGTTGGGTTCTGATTAGGTTTTAAAATTGTTATGGTCCGGAGTCATCGCACCAACCTACTAGCTACAGTTACATTATTTCATTTCTCTATTTTCTATTTACATTTCATTTACACTCTACTATATATTTGTTTTTCTTCTGTAGATCGATCCGAGTATTTCAACTTTTCAACGATCTCAAATGCTCGAAGAACCTCCAAAACAGCAATCACCATATCAAGAAGAAGATAGAAAATCTAAATAATTATAATAAGAATTCAAATCAATTCAATTTTTCATTCAATAAATTATTAATCATTGATTGATTTGGCAACTAATATATATCAAAATCGATACTTTTCCGTGATGAGAGCTCATTTTCTCATAACGGAAAAGTACAATCTTCCAAATCACTTAAAAGAAAGTGTTCTTTATGGTGCTACTTTTAAATGGGCTCTCATAACGGAAAAGTACTTCAAAATCATAGAAAACAGTATTAAAGATTAACAAAAGAAAGTCTGTACAAAGAAAAGTCTGTACTTTAGAAAATCCCTTTACTTTTTAAGCATCATTTCATTTAGAGTTTTTATCGACATTTAAACTTTTGAAATTCTGGAACACGCTTATAATGAGCCTCAAAGAGCTTCTTTCTTCTTTCTTCTTTCCATTGAAAGGGAAAGAAAAAAGAAAAAAAAAGAAAGAAAGAAAGAAAGAAGTCTTTCTGATGGAAGAAAGCTTAAGAAATATGGAACCCATTCAGCTTTACGAAGAAATATGCTCACTTCTTTCTTTCTTTCTTTCTTTCTATTAGGAATGTTTTTCAAAGAGAATCACAAAATCTGCATTTTTTTTTAGTAAACAGCTTTAGTCAATCATATCTTTTTCAAAATGAAATCAATTCTTTCTAGAAATTGAGTTAAATATGTAAATCTCATTGGAATTTCCAAAAAAAGAATTTTGCATTCTTTTCAAATGAACAAATCCCCGTTTCGACTTTTTTTTTTTCAAAGAAAGCACCTTAAGAATGAAAAGACGATGAAATTTTTAAGAGTTCGCTTCTTTTGAAATGAAAAAAAAAGCTTTCAAAACCTGAAGACGAAAAAACGTTAAAAGCTTTTCGAGAAATGATTTCACTGATTCAAAATAGGAAAGTTGAACTGGTTTGTGATTATTCGTGAAAAAAAACCCACTAAGAAAGCTGAAAATGCCACCAATGGAGCGCCTCGTTTTCGAAAAATTGCCAATGTGAATGAAAAATAGAAAGGAATAGTGAAAATGAAGAGAACAGCTGGGAGAACATAGTGGAGAACAGCTGAAGAGAAGATTGAGTGAAAGACGACGATTGTTGAAGAAAGCCAGCACAGTTTCACTCCTGCCTAAAATAAGATTAAATCTGGCTGTTACTAATCGATTTGTAAGCCTTGTTCTTTATTTAACTCCCTCTGAAGCACTGGGTTTCGAATGCTTTGTGTTGTAATGGTTAGCACAGTTGCCCGGTAGGCAAAAGGTAGGGGATCGAGGCCGATGACTTTTTGATTTGTCCTATATAAACAATTGGACTCTCAATTCTTTCATTTTCTTCTTACGATTGGTAAAATATTAAAAAGAGGAGGTGTTTCTATCTTCAAAGTAGATAGGAACAGGCAGAACCATGAGCTCAACATTCACATACTTGCCTAATAATTCTAATATCCAATTTTCTTCTCAAAACTCACCCTAATCGAGAAAAGATTGCAACAGCATGAGTCGTCGAGAAATCGCGTGGTGCCAAATGTCATCTCGTACGTCATCTCTCTCGGGGATCACACTCTCACTCACAATCCCCACAGGTGCCTTTTTGAAAAGAAAAGAACGATGAAGACTCTGAACTTTTGATGGATGAGTGCTAGTGGGCGAGAAACAAAAACCAGCCATTGATGATGAACAAAACACGAATTATTGGAGTAATCATGAGAACTAGTTTAAGTTTCAAAAGATATCAATAAAGTAGTTGATTTGTTTACCTGTATTTAGGCAGAAAAGTAGATTTTCGAGAGCCAACGCCAGGGATATACTGGTCGTGCTCTGCAATAAAGTAAAGGAATGGAAAAGAAAGACTTCCGGAGAAGGGATTGAACTCCCGACCTATTTCTAAGCCTTGTTATCCGAGCAGACGCTCTAATTACTGAGCTATCCGGTATCTATTTCGCAAGGAAGAAAGAGGAAATACAAGGGGCAAGAGAAAGGAGGAAAGAGAAGGATGGAAGTAGATTTTCGAGAGCCTAGCATGACCAATGCCAGGGATATGCCAATCATGAGAGCTGTAAGCCAAACTAGGCAAGGTATGGTAGGCAAGGTATGGTAGAGCCAAAGCCCGTCCTAGGCCAAGGCCTGAGATTTTTGTGGGTTAAGTGAGCAGCAAAGGCAGACCAGGTAAAGCCAAAAGTTAAGCCAGGTTTTTGGCCTTATCAAATATTTTTCGAAAACCTTGCTCAAAGCGAATAAACCCTCAAAAATCTCAAATCTTAAACACTTGAGATCCGGGGGTTTAAGCAAATTCCGCAAACCAATAATATCCAGAGATTGAGGGGATAAGTGGATTCGAGGCGAAAGAGACGATTCACACAAACATACAAAGTGGAGGGCTATAGGGAAATTGCTTCTGAGGTGGCCCTCAATTCCCCGCAGCACTCAGTGAGCATAAAACTCTCCCCTTTTCAACGAAAATCTTTCCCACATTTTGAATGTATTTGAAAAGCCCAAAGCTGAGCTTTTCTCAATCCTTTCCTCATCAAAATCTTTTTAAAAATCAAAAATTTTAATCATGCATTATTTCTATTTTTGGTCGATCTTTTAAAATCAGAAAGTGAACGGCTTTTTTTTGTTTATTTAATGAAAAGCTGAGATAAAATTCTAAAGGCTAAAAACTTTGGATGTCAAATTGGTTCATTGCATGCAACAAAAGACTTTAAAATAGCTCTCAGCTATAGCTCAACAATAAAGAACAAATGCTTGATTACACATCGAAAAAAAAAGAAATAAGTAAAGAAAAAGAAAGAAGAAAGTGAGAAAAAAGTAAAATAACAATTTTAAGAGCTTTCATAAAGCTTTCCATGGTGATTCATTAGTTTTAACGAAGCTTTAGAACATATCGAGCAAGATCGAGCAAGTTAAAGTCAATTCAAGAACAACAAGTTAAAGCCCGAGAATAGTTTGTGTTTGTTTACGCGAAAGTTTGACTTTCTAATCCTTTAGAATAAAAATAAAATTGAAAAAGTTGAAATAGAAAATCTGGAAAAGGACTTTAACATGAATCACTGAAGTGTACGCTGGGAAGAAAAATGGTGAAAGAGAACGAGGCGGGACTTTAATGCTCAAGCAAAGCTCTTTTGAATTCTTAAGAATCCGAAAATCTGACAGATTAAAAGAAAACAAAAATTCTCTAAACGTTAAATTGTTACACATAATTAGAAAGTTTTTCGAGAAATGATTTCACTGATTCAAAATAAGAAAGTTGAACTGGTTTTGTGATTATTAGTGCAATAAAAAACCCACTAGCTTTAGAAAACAATTGATTGTAAATTTTTTAATTATTCAATTCTTTGTAGAGTGTATTCCTCGCGAGTAATGCGTTTTTTAAAATGCATAATTGGGAAAAAAATTACCGTACTTTTAGCAAAAATTATTGCAAAAGAATGACGCTAAAATGACAAGCCTCGCATTATATACAACACTTTTTAAAGATACTCAGCCGTTTAACTGACTTGCTGGGAAATTCCCTTCCAATGTAATGATTTTTTCTGAAAAACCTGCGCAAAAAATTGCTTTTATATTTTTTTCGCGCAGGCGACACTCCAGCAACACTTGCAAGTTTCTCGAAAAATCGACCCAATATCAGCAAAACTGCAAATCCAGCCTGGACATTTACAAGTATTCCATGCGGAATATCTTGATTCTAGCACTAAAAGTTTATAATGAGATTATATCGCCAATTTATTTATTTATTAACAGACGACAGATGGACGATATGGATCACAGAGTGGCTACCTCCGAGACCCGAAGAGGCCCATCGGAAGACCAGCAACGAGGTGGAACACAGTCAGAGAAAGGATGGCTCAGAGAATTTAGCTTGTGTTTGTAATCAAATCGAACGAGCCCTGAGAACGACGCATCGAGCCCTTGAAAGGAATCTCCTCGGGCACAATAGGAAGACGCAGCTCGACCAAGACCTAAGAAGTACGGATATGCGTTAGCTCTCGGGACTCAGAGGTCCAGTGGAAGTGATCGAGAGAAAAAGACTCGGATGGGCCGACCACGTGGCCAAAAGAACAGACGACAGATGGACGATACGGATCACGGAGTGGCTATCACGAGACCAGAAGAGGCCCATCGGAAGACCAGCAACGAGGTGGAGCACAAGAGTGGCAGAGATGGAGAAAGGATGGCTAGAGTGCAACCACCACCAGCACAAGCAAGTCGAAGACTTCGAACCAGGAACAACCAAGATAGGAAACACTGGATAACAATAGCAAGGGATACAGAAATGGAAGCAGGTTGTGATCTGCGCAAATAGGAACACCTAAGTGCGAAGACAGATCAAAAAAAATCTTTATTTAACCTAGATCATGAACAAGATTTATATAAACGAAAGAAGTGTTGCAACTTTTTAGAAAACGCATTACTCGAGCTATTACACATGAAAATTTACTCGACTAATTACTTACTCGCGAGGAACATACTCTAGTTACAAGCAATTATAGATTATCGGTGAATAGTCATGACAATTTTTGAGACCAACGGCTGACGAAATCTAATACACAAGAACTATAAGCTTCAAACTGTTTAAATGTGAATTTTATGCTAAATCATTCTTTTCAGGGATCTTCGGAATGTCGGAGCAGCAGGAGTCGGACTTCAGGCAGTGCTTCAACATCGACAAACATTATGATCTTCTTTCTCAAGCCTCTCCTCATTCTCCCACCAATTCACAGCTTTATTTTAATCTTTATTCTACATTTGGCTAATCGCAAAGTCTTCGTTCTCCTTTTCCAAAGTTGCCGACTTGTTGCTGATCTTTTAATAGGCTGGGTTTATCTTTTATTATGCTTTTATTATGCTTATCTCATCAAATTGACTATTTTCAATAATTTGTAATTTCTTTTGGTTGTTTTTTCTTGTTTATTATATTTATTGTTATCACTGCTGTAGCTTTGGTATAAAACTATGAAGTTAAAGACTCTTATAGCCAAGTTTAACAGGTATCTGGGTTCAAGAAAAATCTAGTCTGCCCAAAAAGTCTGGAAATTGAGCCGTTGGAAAAGCAAGAGGAATAAGTTCGCGTAAAGCATTTTCGAGAAAATCATTTTCTCAATGACACAAATTTCCATTGAACAGGTGAATTAGCTTTTGACGTTTTTAAGTTCAATTAGCTAACACCATACATTAGATTATTGCAAATATATATGCTTTATTCAGTTGAATAGCGACAAAACAAGAGCACAATAATTAAAGTACAGTAATCCTGATGAGGTACAGACTTTCTAGAGTCCAGTACCCTTGGGAAGTACAGTAAATCCAGGAAAGCACAGTAATTCTCAGCTTGTAGACAAAATTTCAGAGCAATCGGCCAAGAGATGGCTGAGAAAACGAAGGTGAAATGAGGTTCGGGTCGTAAAAGTCGCAAAGTTTTAGTATTTCATGTTTTTCAAAGCGCTCCTACTTTCAAAAAATGCGTCTTTAATATCAAAAAATAGCCTGGATTTTCAGTTATTTTTTGATACCTTAATGCGCATTGTAGCATAAAGCAGTGTCGAGAGAAACGCGTGCAAAGCTAGACTACGCAACGCTTTACACCGTCTAACAGTATTTACGGTAATTAACTTAAAAATATATTGCTGTATTCTTTTCTACAAAAAGACAGCATAGAGGCAATACAAGCGTTGAGCGAGATGAACTTATTGGAGCTGTAAAATTACCAGTACCTGATGAGGATTTTGAGGATTTTTTAGGCGCTATCGGGTTATTACATCAAAAAAGAACTTGCCCTAGTTGTGGAAACGAAAAAAAAAGCGCAGAAAAAGAATGCGCAAAAAATAAAATAGGAAGGCAATCGAAGGGCATGTCGTAAACTAAGAAAGAAGAACAAAATCAGCTTTTATGTTGCGATTTTCTTTGAAAATTCTAATTCTCCGGGACTCGAACCCGCTGCCTTCGGAGCGTGACAGTCACGGTAGTTACGGTAATTACGTTTGTGTTGAGTTGGAACATATTTTAATCCTGCATAGTTTTCAAATGAAAGTTGAAAAGAGAACATAAAAGAATCATTTGAAAGATTGCATACTTTTTCGGAAAAGTTAAAAGAATCATTTTTCTTGTAGGTAGCGAAATCGCCACAATTTGACGTGATGTCAATGTCGAAACCCTAGGAAGATATCATCTCAATATCTTCTAGCGACTCGAGATCAATTCTACTGTTTCTCTCAGATTTATGCCATACAGAAAAGGGGTTGTGTTTCGATTTGAAGTTAGAAGTGTTGAAACAGATGGAATCATGGGATGATCTGCCGTATTGAAAATTGTAGCGACATGCTGTCCAAAAACACTCGAAGAAATCTTTGATTCACCTTCGCCAACTCAAGCACTCAAGCACTTGAACCATTTGGTTGGGTTTGTGGAGAATCGATTCTCCACTAGTAGTGATTGTTGAAACTGTTCTCTTTTCACATTCATCATCGTTAGAAGAAATCTCAAACCTATTATTTCGTATTCCTTGGTCTAATTAAAGCTTGCCCAAGTGCTCAGTCAGCACTAAACTTGCAACAAAGACTTTTAAAAGTGCCACGTAGTCGTTTTTGTTGATTTGTTTCGTCAAAATTGAGACCCACTAGAGCCTGTCCATCGATTTGCTGATCAATAAGATCGGTACAAACAAAATAGGATTTATTTATTGCCACTTTTCAATCATTTTTTCTGAAGACTGATTAATGCTAAAAATCTGTGCCATATTTCCGAGAAAATCACCCATTTTCTCTATTTTAATTTGGTACCAAAAGGAACAGCAACAAAGGCATTGGTGCTGAGATCTTAGGGTTTGCTTGAAAAACCTTAATGAAACGAAAAAATTTGAACGAAACATCTAAATTCGAATTCTAAATGACAACCTCGTGAGCTACCGTAGCCAAAGGATGGGATAAAAGGGAAATTTTACTCTTGGGAAATCATTCGTCTCTTCTCCCCGAAAGTGATTGGTGACCTTTTCTGCCATAATTTGTGTTTTTAGAGTTGTTCCTTGTTAGCGTAGATTTTTATATCTTTCTAAAGGCATACCGTACTAGTTTTAAGCATTGTTTGGATCATAAATGAGCTATTTTGGTCTACGAGACGTTTTTGTTTTAAAAAAGCGACTTTTGAAATCTTTCAAGTCAATTTTGGCTCCTTTTAAGTGTCAAGCTTTACTTATTGTTGTTTATACACTAAAGACCATCAAAAGCTTTTTAAAAATTCAAGATCAGACTTGAGCTAAAAACTGACATTTGTCCCCACCTTGTTGATTGTTTTTATTTTGTATTTTGTAGCCAACCTTTCTGCCATATGTGCACTGATTGTTCTTTTCTAATCTTTCAATTTTCAGGTAAAATGGCAAAACTTGCATTCGGGATGCCCAATCTCCTCAATTTTCCGATGGGAAAACTCTACTACGACCTGATTTTGGAGGTGATCGATGAATTGGACCCAAATGATGTGCCCGCATTGATGAAAGTTGACCGAAGGCTTCGATGGATTCTTCTTCAGAAGCCAGCACGGATTTTTGGAAAACAAATTTATTGGATTAGCATCTCCCGAAAGGGACGTTGGGAGGAGGAAACCTACAACATTCGATTCCAGAAATTTCGTGAATTACCTTCTTTTCGAATCAACTTTGATGAATCAACTTCAACTTTTGATGAATCAACTTCAACTTTTGATGAATCAACTTCAACTTGTGATGAATCAACTTCTATTCGTTTCTCTCTTTCGTCACGTGATGTTCTTTTATTATCACAGGTTGAACGATGTTGGTGTTTGTTCATTTCACAAACTGATGGAAATAGCAAACTGTTGCCTGACTTCAATGAAAAGGAACGTTCGGCACTCAAGAAGATCTTCGCCAATTTGAAACAAGTCAATCATTTGTATGTCAACGAGCTCGGTGCAAACAGTTTCAACGATTTATTTAAGGATTTTAAAACTGAGGTCACCGATCACGCAAGCTTCGACATTTGGGGGATGGGCGAAGTAGAACAACAGCTTGTATGGTCTTTGATTAGTGATGGAGGCTTTAGAACCTGCAAAACCATCCAAATGAATGTTTGGAAACTACAAGTAGTCGAATCGACAATTAGGTTGGTTCTGAATTCCGGAATTCCGGGTGAAAATAAAGAGGCCACTTGTTTCGTGCGGTCCGAGTATTCCGCAACCGAGGGTGAAATGAAGTTCTTGATCCAATTGATCAAGAACTTTCCCGAAATTCGTGATGTCAACGAACGAGAAGAGACTTTCATCATCAATACAATGAAGAAATCACTGGAAAGTTTTACGCTTCCTTTTGCTTATGATCCTGTTGACGAATTTTTAAGTTTTGGTGATCCATGTCATTGCTATTGGAAAAGATTCGATGAGATTGAAAAAGGCTGTATTTATGTTGTGAGCAAGCGCTTTTTCTTCACCAAATATGTTCCATTAGCTCAAGGAAACTTGATCTGACCCTATTTGTTGCTGCCTCAATCCTTTGTATTTTTTCAGCTTATTTTTGTGACTGCACCTACCTATTTGAGCTATAGCAGTTGCTTATGTTGTTTCTGCCAAAAATGTGCCTGTCGAGATTTGAAATTGTGAGTACGAACCTTTATGTTCTGGTGATTTCTCGTGATCTTTTTAATAATTTTTGATCATTCTATGCAAAAATAAATACTTTGCTCAACCAACCGGATCAAATAAGATAGCGTTTGGCTTAGACGCGGCATTTATTTATTGAAGAGTTTTACTTTGTTTTCAATTTTTTTGGAATTGAAAATTTGAAATCTAAGCTAAAAAGAGAAAATCTAACACATAACATTTAATGGTTTCTTTTATTGATTTGGTTGTGGAAACAGCATGTCGATGAACAACGAAGGATTCGTCAGTAGTAGGTTCAGAAACGTCTTCGTGTCGGCAACATTGTGAGATTTTTTAAACGATATTCGATATTTAGATTTAGGTTCATGTGCGGATACACCAAAGAAGTTAGATGTTGGCGGCGGATGGTTTAGCGAATGAGATCCTTTGAATTTGTATGTTTCTTCTTGCTTGAGACTAATATTTTGCATTCAGTGGATGGAAGTTGCTTGAAAAAAAACAATTCGGAGAAGATGGGAAGAACAATGCCCGATTTGTTAAATCCATTCGAAAATCTCTTGTTGAAAGCCTGGAAAGACAAGCACAAGAAGGAGAACCGAGTGTAGTCTTGTGGAGGTAATCGTAGCTTATGACGAGATGCCATTCGAACGTGATCTCAATCAGCCGCCTACCAACAAGCGTTTGTTGAATTTCTCTTATATTAACCCATAAATTCCCTTTTAGGCTTCGTAAACTCCACTATAAACTGGTGTCAGTGTTCAATTCAACGGTGTATTTCGTTTTGACAGGACATTCATGAACCATGTAATGGACCATTTCAATTTCATTAGTGTTTTATTTTTAGGCAAACACTGGCTTCATCGAGAAATCAAAACTAAAGGAACTTGATGAAGTCTTTATTGTAACTTATTTGTATTTCTAAATGTCCTCGTTTGTTTTGCGTGGCTAGACTTTTGGCTGTATCAATTTGATTGTCAGCTTTCCTGACATTCATGAAAATTGGCTTAAAAGTCTAGCCACCTGTCAGTGAGAAAAATGATTTTCTTCGAACAAAAAGCATTTTCTCGAATCCAATTAATTTTCCGAAAGGTAGTACTAAATATAATTTTAATAAAGTTTTCTTTTTATGATAATTAGATACTTAGGTTGGTCTAGATTTGTAGGGGAGTCTCCGATGTTCATTCCTGAGACGAGATCAAAGGCAAAAATAGCCGGGAAAAACCCCCCCTCTAAGCACGTTTCTTCCCAGCATCTCACTTTTTTCCTTTTCTTTGTCTTTGTCTTTGTCGCTAAATTGGTCTACAGAAATAAACGTTTATTTTGTTACAATTTCAACGAAGAATAAGAGAATTTACAAAAAAAAGGATAAAATACCAGAAATATCACAAACTTGCACTGAATCGGGTCGAAAGATAGGGGAACGCTTTGGATGAATCGGCTAAGGGGACTTGAGAAAGGCTAAACTTTTCGAAATTTCAAGCTTTTGCTGTAAATTTACGCGCGGGAATGCGCGTTCGATGTCTTTTTGTCATGTGTTCATGGGAGGAACGGTTCTCAAGATTTCGGGCAATAAAACAAAGAACAAAAATCACACTAAACAGCTCGAATTTAGCCAAAAAGCGTCAATTTTCTCATTTCTAGTCTACAAAACAAAAGAAAGTCTAAAATTTTCGGTGTTGATTTTAAAGCAAATCTCTCAAGAAGCCAGCACTCAGAAGGTTAAGTCGTAAATTTCAAAAACGCAAAAAGCTAAAAGCACCAGAATTTCGTTAGAATGGTGCGTCGTATTTACATGAAAAGTACAAAAATCACAAACCATTTGCTAGAGTTTGCAAGATCGAAACGTATAATGTACTTTAGTCAAACTTAAATCCACCAAAAAATCGTTTTCGATTTGCGATCGCGTGCGCCGGCAACGTCTCGAATTCGTCCTCTTTCGCCGGATTGCTGCTCTCGCGTTTTTGCTGCGTTTGAAGGCCGGCTTTCTCCTCGAGTTTTATGGATTAATCCATACAAAAAAACTCGTCCCAACCTATTTTCCAGCTCGCAAAAGTTGAATGGATAAATTTTTACGGATCAATCAGCAAAAATTCACCGAAATATCCCAATTTTTTAGAGCAGCCGAAAATTTATGGTTGATAGGTCAATAAAATCCATTCGGGGGTTCGTTTTCAAATATTGGAATGAGTGGAATGCAGAAAACTTTAGCCGCATTATGAAGTTGTTTGACTCAGAATTTAGGGACGGAAGAAAGCCAGCATTATACACAAAAATGCATCAATGATGCTCGTAGACTGTAAAATATGCCGACTGCCATCGAAACTATCAATTCTCCCTTTCCCCACAAAATAATCTCTTTATAATCGGTCGGAGTGATCAAATAAACCCGCCAGTACAGAGACACAAAAAGAAGAATACCACAAAATAAACTTTCGAAAGTACTTTCTAAGCGTGATTACGGACGTGTTTTTACGAAGATTTTTTCCCGGGTTTTTCTGAAAATATTTATTGCGATGAAAGAAAAATTTTAACCAAATCGAACAAAGTCACCAGATTAGCGCAAAACAGGAACAAATAACTTTTAGATCACTTACTAAACATATGGTTTGAGAAATAGTTAAAATATAACAAACTATCCCAATACACAACAATAGAATACCAAAAACAGCATGTAGAGCCTAGTAACCAGAATAATCTCATGATCGAATAGTGCTTGGTCGTAGACTGAAGCGGAAATCGTTCGACCGCCGAAGAAACGTTCATCCAACGCCTTCTTTGCTTCATCTACCTGAAAAAAAGGAAGATTATAGACGCAGAGTTAGATATTTTAACGTGTAGTAGTAATAGAAGTTAAAAATTGTGAGCTTTAGGCCAGACTGATATTTATTTGATACTTTATTAATATTTGAGGAAAATCGAATACCTGATTCGTCGTTGAGAACTTGACAAATATCTTAACCACATCATTCGCCTCGTCGTTTACAATCAACACCTAGAATCGGAAATGCAAACACAGCTTCAAATCAACTTACGTCCTCAACGTCTCCATATTTCGAGCACTCTTCTTTTATTTCATCTTCCAATAAATCGTCAATCTCTTCAGCGCTCACCATATTCTTTAGCAACAATATTTGCGATCGATTCACGCGCATCAACTTTGTCATCAACAAGTGTCTCGAGTCATTTCCACTAAAGAAACTTTCATGAAACTTTGAGAATAAACTTATTAGAGGTTAGGATAACTTGAGCAGAAACACCAACCGTATCTCTAAACCTTCCTGTGATGCGAAGGTTGCTTGATCCTTGTTCACTTCTTTGTTGATAATTTGATCACTCATTGCACCAGCTTTCTCGGCGGCTGCCAAAGCGGCATCGCTGCTCAACTAAAATAAAATGTTTAGATGGTTAAAACTAAGCACGAGCTAATTTCTAGATATAGCTTATAGCGTTATATCTATGGTTTTTATATAATTAAGAGTGTAAACCTTAGGTCCTTTTGTGTTTGACGCTTTCACAGGTTTTGTTTTCCTCTTGATCTTGGCCGCTTTCTTTGCTGCTTCTTTATAGGCGGCATCCTTCTCAGCTTTAGACTTAAATAAGAAATATTGAGGTGGTTCGTTAAGCATTCTCAACCTTTATCAATTGCAGTTGATTTTCACCGTCCATAATTGCCAGTGCGAGCGATTGGATGTCACCTTTCCCAGAGGAGCCAGAAGTGATAGCGAGTGGACCTAAAAAAGTTTTTTTTCAAAACATCCACAAACCAGTTTCATCATCCTCATCTTCTTCAAGTGCACCGCTGCTCGCAGTGGGTCCAAAAGTAGCTATTTCACCGGAATTATGTGTCTAAAATGAAGAATTTTAGTTCAACCAAACTACTAAATTTAAACTCCAAACTCAATAAACTCACCGCATGAACTTTAATCCGATCGAAGATCGACTTTGACTCTTTCGTTTTCTTCTTTGGAGTGCCCCCTTGTGACTTTGCTGGAGAAGGAATCGGTGGATGTGGTTTGGCTGTTTGACCGGTGGACAATGTTGGCACAACGACGGTGGGTTGTGAAACCTACAGTTTGAAAATTAATGCGATCCGGCTTAGTAAAAACCTTCAATAATTCAGGTGGTGGAATCTTGGCAGCAGATTTCGATGGATTCGGTTTCACATCCGGTTTCACGTCATCGACTTCAGCTCTAGAACGAGGTTCAGGATCCTTCTAAATTGAATAAGTTAAGTGAGAAAAGGGGAAACCTTCATGAAACGTTCCCAAGCCGGTGAATCATCCTCGACTGAAGCTGACTCGGGAGAAGGTGGCGGCGATGAAGGCGCTGCTGGCTCAACTAAAACAAAAAATTATACGATTCAAAGGAATTTCAATAATCTTAAGCTAATAGTTGACCAAAACTAAACTCATCAAAATTTCGATCTAAAATTATGATATTCTAGAAAACCCGACAAATCTAATGTGTTTTTAAAAACCAGGCAATGGAGAATAGTAGTACCATACTCTGCCACCTGGCAGAGTATGGTGGAATCGGTGAGTTGATTCTTTTGTGATGAGCCGCTTGGACTGCTGCTGCCTGACTGAAAAGAAAGTATTCACGAGAGCTTGGAGAAAGATATTCATTTGTTTTTAATGCTCAATTCGAAAAACCGACCGGTGTTGCTGGAATAATATAGTTTAGAGCTTCGACCGAAGTGACACACCAGTTAAACGGAAACGAAATTTCTTGTGGGTAGCGAAATCACGACAATTCGACGTAATGCGAATGTCGAATCTCTAGGAAGGTCTCATCCCCAATATTTTTTAAGAAAAATTTTTTAAAAATCCAGATTTTAGCCCTTGATCTCGACTCGAGAATGACGATCGCAGATTCCCATACAAAGCTCGAAATTTTGTAATCGAAAATCAAAATCGAAAAAATCACCGGTATGCCTTTTTCATTTCATTTCGAGACAAAGGGATCATTTTGAGTTTCAGATCAACCCAATTATCATAGTTATCTGTTTATCTAATTATCATAAAAACAAAAAAAAGTAGCAAAATTATAACCATTACTATTTTCGGAGAATTAGATTCGATTACAGGAAATAATTTTTGTTCAAAGAAAATCATTCGCAATCATTTTCTATAAATACTTTACTCCCTAGGACTTTTTGGTTTATGTGCTGGATCTCAATAATTTATTGTGGTGCCGAAAGCTTTCAATCTTCAAAAATTTATTCGAAAGCATAGCACAGCACACTCATTACACCATCAGACTCAAAAAAAAGAGAAACCCAAGAACACTGACTAATTCTGACGAAAAATTCGTGTTCTACAGACCAACCCCACGTAAAGAGGCCGCTACGCGGCCACTCGACTGACTGACTCACAAATTCTCACAAATGCTTACATACAAATTGATCTACGATCAAGCTACGCAAAACAAAAGAGGACATTAACAAGTACAGACGATTTACAATAGAGTTTACAATGTTCCGTTAGTGTTGATTTCTCGAAGAAGAAGAAGAAGTGTTTGCCTAGAAATAAAACATTAATGAAATTGAAATGGTCCATTACCTTATTCAAGAATTCCAGTTCGATCCACTTTTCTGGTTCTTTTTCAGCAGCAGTAGCGAGTTTATCAGCCTAGAAATAAAAAACGTTTGATAATCATTAGTGAAAAAAACTCTACTTCCACGTTTCCAGGGACACCAACGTGAGCTTTCACCCATTTGAAAGACACCCATGAACCGTGAACTTTCCTGAACATCTTCACCACTTTAGCCAGTTTATAAAGCCTAAAACGGAATTTATAGATCAAAGTAAGAGAAATCAACAAACGCGTCTGTGTAGGTAGCATCCTTCCAATTTTTCCCCCAAGCCTTTTCCAACGCCTCGTCCTTCTCGCACTGGAGATCTTTGTTTATCATGCGATCGATTCCATTGCACATATCCTTACTGTCGGAGAAAATCATCACCGATCGACCGTGCCTAAATTCTGCTTTATTCATTTGCAAAATTTTTACAACGTTTGTAATAAATTCTATAATTTTTCTTCGAACATTTAAAAAACCTCTAGATAACAAAATTAAAACGCCTCACTTGAAACCCTCCTTGAGCAGTTTGTCCAAGGCTACGCAGGCAGCGATTGTCTCAACAAGGGTCGATCGTTCTTCCTTCTTTTTGTCGACGACCGTCAACAATGCCTTTTCCATTGGATGCTTTTCAAGAAAGTCGAGATCGTTTTCTTTCTCCTTCAATGCGCGTGCTCCCTTCAACTTCAATTTTCTAAATGCAAAATATTAGTCTCAAGGAAGAAGAGACTTACAAATCCCATTCTGTTTTATCGGGAAAATGTGCTCCGACGCCATTGAACTTGGATGGATAATCTTTGCATGACCCGTCAGTGTATACCTAAACACCAAATATCGTTCAAAAAATCATCAATACACTCACCACGATACACTCTTTGGGAAGTTTTTCAACCTTCTCCCGGTGTTCCTTTTGGTGTTCCTCGGCATGACTTTTACACCACTGAATAAACAGAAAACATTAAATGCAAAAGGTTATGCCTTAGATTTTCCTCGTTTTGCTTCGATTCCAAAGTTTCTATTTCAAGAACATCAAAGTTAAAACCCTTTTTATAAACATTATGGAAGCCTAGCCTAACACCTATACACGCAAAAATGCCATAAATTTAGTTATCACAGTTAAGATACCGGATAGGTCACCGTCCCAACGATTTGCTTGTCAGCAGTGCAGGTTCCATGGCCGCCCTCACAATGACGTGGGTTATCAAAGTCATGACCTCTCGCTCGTTCAATATCGGATCCATCTAAAACAAAGAATTGATATATATCTTAGCAAGAAAAACCAGAAATTATCTTAACCAAAAACCACAAACCTTGCAGCTTCTTTCGACAACAGAACCATTTGAAGAACTCCACGATCGAACGGAACATCGTAACTTAAAGAAAATACTCTTTTAAATGTCCAAGTTCTTTAAAAAAGCTCAACGCCCCAATACCATCACCCTCTAAAACTGATTCATCAAGTTTAAAAGAGTAATGATTTTGCTGAACCGAAGATTGATGACAACGCTCCTTTGTTTTACCAAGTTGGCCTATCATCAATTTTATCAATCTTTTCTTTCAGATGACTAAAAAGTACAACTATATGATATTTTGATTTAGAAATTTGTCGAATGATCACTTGCCCTCTGCGAACACTTGTGTCTCTCGTCTCTACATGCCGCACTACACGTCGAAAAACACTATGTACCTCAAGCTACGCAATGCCAAATTAAAGTGTTTGGTTTTGTATAGATTGGCATTATTATTATTATTATTTTGAATTTATTGTTTTTACAGAATGGGATGTTTTTCAAATTTAGTATTGCATTGTCTTCAATAAATGTTGTCCATTAAAATCCGAAAAGCGCAAATGTTTGAATAAAAGCATGAATGCTATTTGATGAATCAGTTTTAGAGGGTGATGGTATTGGGGCGTTGAGCTTTTTTAAAGAACTTGGACATTTAAAAGAGTATTTTCTTTAAGTTACGATGTTCCGTTCGATCGTGGAGTTCTTCAAATGGTTCTGTTGTCGAAAGAAGCTGCAAGGTTTGTGGTTTTTGGTTAAGATAATTTCTGGTTTTTCTTGCTAAGATATATATCAATTCTTTGTTTTAGATGGATCCGATATTGAACGAGCGAGAGGTCATGACTTTGATAACCCACGTCATTGTGAGGGCGGCCATGGAACCTGCACTGCTGACAAGCAAATCGTTGGGACGGTGACCTATCCGGTATCTTAACTGTGATAACTAAATTTATGGCATTTTTGCGTGTATAGGTGTTAGGCTAGGCTTCCATAATGTTTATAAAAAGGGTTTTAACTTTGATGTTCTTGAAATAGAAACTTTGGAATCGAAGCAAAACGAGGAAAATCTAAGGCATAACCTTTTGCATTTAATGTTTTCTGTTTATTCAGTGGTGTAAAAGTCATGCCGAGGAACACCAAAAGGAACACCGGGAGAAGGTTGAAAAACTTCCCAAAGAGTGTATCGTGGTGAGTGTATTGATGATTTTTTGAACGATATTTGGTGTTTAGATATACACTGATGGGGCATGTAAAGATGATCGATCCAAGTTCAATGGCGTCGGAGTACATTTTCCCAATATCGTTAATATCGATAATCAGGTCTAATACGATAAAAATTTCGCTTTCTCGAGTCAACTACGGCATAAGGTTCGTTGTTTAGCATTCCAACTTTGACTATAACGATTGAATTTTGGATTTTTGTGTAAACTTTTCGTAGTTTTACAATTTTCACAATACTTTTTGATATCTTCGGCTTTAAGTGAGAGGAAGGCACTTTTTGTCGCCAAAACCGCTTTTCCCTGGGGTAATTAAGTCCGTTGAGCACGAATATGGCATTTTTAACCAAACAACTTTTTAAGCAACGCTTGGGAGACAAGTGAGAATTTGGATTTCAAAGAAAATTTCAAAGAAATTCAGTGATTCATGTTAAAGTCCTTTTCCAGATTTTCGATTTCGACTTTTTCAATTTTATTTTTATTCTAAAGGATTATAAAGTCAAACAATTTTGCGTAAACAAACACAAAATATTCTCGGGCTTTGACTTTTTGTTCTTTGATTGACTTTAACTTGCTCGATCTTGCTCGATATGTTCTAAAGCTTTGTTAAAACTAATGAATCACCATGGAAAGCTTTATGAAAGCTCTTAAAATTGTTATTTTACTTTTTTCTTACTTTTTTCTTACTTTCTTCTTACTTTTTCTTTACTTATTTCTTTCTTTTTTCGATGTGTAATCAAGCATTTGTTCTTTATTGTCGAGCTATAGCTGAGAGCTATTTTAAAGCCTTTTGTTGCATGCAATGAACCAATTTGACATCCAAAGTTTTTAGCCTTTAGAATTTTATCTCAGCTTTTCATTAAATAAACAAAAAAAAGCCGTTCACTTTCTAATTTCAAAAGATCGATCAAAAATAGAAATGATTCATGATTTTTTGATTCTCAAAAAGATTTTGATGAGGAAAGGATTGAGAAAAGCTCAGCTATTTTTTTCACTATTTTTTTTGACGTAATAACCCGATATGGCTCAACTAATCCTCAAAATCCTCGTCAGAAACTAGCAATTCCTCAGAGAGCTCCAATAAGTTCATGTCGCTCAACGCTTGTATTCCCTCTATGCTGCTAATTTGGTAGAAAAGAATGATACAACAGTATGTTGTTAAGTTAACTACCGTAAAGACTGTAATAGTACCCCACTCTCATAATGCCGGTGCGGACCGTTGCGTATTCTAGCTTTGAACGCGTTTTTCTCAATACTGCTTTATGCTACAATGCACCCTTAGTTATCAAAAAGTAGCTAAAATTCAGGGCTATTTTTTGATATCAAAGACGCTTTTTTGGAAGTAGGAGCGCTTTGAAAAACATTAAATAACTTTGCGACTTTTGCGACCCCAACCTAATTCCACCCTCGTTTTCTCAGCCGTCTCTTAATCGATTCCTCTGAAATTTTGTCTACAAAGTGATAATGCCAATTCCTATTTGTAAGCAAAATCTCAGAACAATCGGTTAAGAGACGGCTGAGAAAACCAAGGTGGAATTAGGTTCTGATTGGAATTTTCTCATTTATAGTCAGCAGGGGTTTACTGCAACCAAGATATTGTACTGTTTGTCTCAGGTTTGTCCTGAACGGACGGGAAAGAGCCGTTATAAACCGATGATTCGGCCAGTAGCGTAGGTACCCAAATTTGCAACGCGCTTTTCTCGAAAACCAGAGGGTTTAGGCAAAAGCTAAATACAGCGTCGGATTCCCCATGCCCGAAATACGTTTTCTATCACTATGCTGATCTAATCCTTCACCTCCACTTTGGACCATTTCCTCGTTAAAACTTTCAACTCTGAGCTAAAGTTGATCATGCTTTTCTTTTTCCAGGTCGAAGACATGCTTCGTATCGGTTTCCACTGGCCGCCAATGATTCGCATATGCACATTCTCTACCCGGTTAAAGATGTACGTTTTTTAAAGTTAAACGTGATACTTTGACAATCTAGCCTTGATTTTACTTTAGCTCGGCTTCTTCTCGAAAATGTTGATCTTCAAGCCAGGAAAAGTCTTCCGTGAAACGTCTCGGGTTATACAGGTTTGTTGTTTTTCAGAATTACAATTCTTATCAAGGCTGAATGGAACTTGATCCAGGTTTAAAACACGACTAATTTGATTGACAAAATGCCGCTAAATTTAGCTATTGTAATTGTATAATTCAAGCATCAGCCGTGCTTGAATAGCTTGGGAAATTCTAATTCACTCACTTCTCGAAAACCTTGTTTATAGCGATGATCGTTGTGCTAATCATTAAATACTTATCCAATTAGCGTTTACCAGTGTCTAGTAGTTGTTTTGTAAGAAAAACTTTAATTGTAGCATCTTATTTAACTCGGTATTCATTGTCAGTAAACCATTTCTTTCAGGAACTTGAGGAGAAAGCCGAACTCCAGCAAAAACGCGTGCCCCATTTTCAGTGCAAGTTTGTGATATTTTCAGTATTTCATCCTTTTTTTTGTAAATTCTCTTATTTTTGGTCGAAATTTTAACAAAATAAACGTTTATTTCTGTAAACCAGTTTAGCTATAAAGATAAAAAAGTTCAAAGGGGCCAAAAAATGAAAATGAAATGGTCCATTTTGATGAGCCTTAGAAGCCAACTCGTTGGCCTTGAAATAAAAACATTTGATAATAATAGAAAGAAAAAACTCTACCTTCTCGTTTCCATCGATGCCAATCAGAATTTTTACCCAAATGAAATACACCGTTGAATTGAACACTGACTCCAGTTTATAGTGGAGTTTACGAAACCTAAAAGGGAATTTATGGGTTAATATAAGAGAAATTCAACAAACGCTTGTTGGTAGGCGGCTGGTTGAAATCACGTTCGAATGTCATCTCGTCATAAGCTACGATTACCTCCACAAAACTACATTCGGTTCTCCTTCTTGTGCTTGTCCTTCAAGGCTTTCAACAAGAGATTTTCGAATGGATTTAACAAATCGGGCATTGTTCTTCCCTTTTCCGAATTGTTTTTTTTCAAGCAACTTCCATCCACTGAATGCAAAATATTAGTCTCAAGCAAGAAGAAACATACAAATTCAAAGGATTTCATTTGCTAAACCATCCGCCGCCAACATCTAACTTCTTTGGTGTATCCGCACATGAACCTAAATCTAAATATCGAATATCGTTTAAAAAATCTCACAATGTTGCCGACACGAAGACGTTTCTGAACCTACTGCTGACGAATCCTTCGTTGTTCATCGACATGCTGTTTCCACAACCAAATCAATAAAAGAAACCATTAAATGTTATGTGTTAAGCCAAACGCTATCTTATTTGATCCGGTTGGTTGAGCAAAGTATTTATTTTTGCATAGAATGATCAAAAATTATTAAAAAGATCACGAGAAATCACCAGAACATAAAGGTTCGTACTCACAATTTCAAATCTCGACAGGCACATTTTTGGCAGAAACAACATAAGCAACTGCTATAGCTCAAATAGGTAGGTGCAGTCACAAAAATAAGCTGAAAAAATACAAAGGATTGAGGCAGCAACAAATAGGGTCAGATCAAGTTTCCTTGAGCTAATGGAACATATTTGGTGAAGAAAAAGCGCTTGCTCACAACATAAATACAGCCTTTTTCAATCTCATCGAATCTTTTCCAATAGCAATGACATGGATCACCAAAACTTAAAAATTCGTCAACAGGATCATAAGCAAAAGGAAGCGTAAAACTTTCCAGTGATTTCTTCATTGTATTGATGATGAAAGTCTCTTCTCGTTCGTTGACATCACGAATTTCGGGAAAGTTCTTGATCAATTGGATCAAGAACTTCATTTCACCCTCGGTTGCGGAATACTCGGACCGCACGAAACAAGTGGCCTCTTTATTTTCACCCGGAATTCCGGAATTCAGAATCAACCTAATTGTCGATTCGACTACTTGTAGTTTCCAAACATTCATTTGGATGGTTTTGCAGGTTCTAAAGCCTCCATCACTAATCAAAGACCATACAAGCTGTTGTTCTACTTCGCCCATCCCCCAAATGTCGAAGCTTGCGTGATCGGTGACCTCAGTTTTAAAATTCTTAAAAAAATCGTTGAAATTGTTTGCACTGAGCTCGTCGACATACAAATGATTGACTTGTTTCAAATTGGCGAAGATCTTCTTGAGTGCCGAACGTTCCTTTTCATTGAAGTCAGGCAACAGTTTGCCATTTCCATCAGTTTGTGAAATGAACAAACACGAACATCGTTCAACCTGTGATAATAAAAGAACATCACGTGACGAGAGAGAGAAACGAATAGAATCACAAGTTGAAGTTGATTCATCAAAAGTTGAAGTTGATTCATCAAAGTTGATTCGAAAAGAAGGTAATTCACGAAATTTCTGGAATCGAATGATGTAGGTATCCTCACGGAAATATCCAGTTGGTCGGTAGATGCTAATCCAATCAATTTGTTTTCCAAAAATCCGTGCTGGCTTCTGAAGAAGAATCCATCGAAGCCTTCGGTCAACTTTCATCAATGCGGGCACATCATTTGGGTCCAATTCATCGATCACCTCCAAAATCAGGTCGTAGTAGAGTTTTCCCATCGGAAAATTGAGGAGATTGGGCATCCCGAATGCAAGTTTTGCCATTTTACCTGAAAATTGAAAGATTAGAAAAGAACAATCAGTGCACATATGGCAGAAAGGTTGGCTACAAAATACAAAATAAAAACAATCAACAAGGTGGGGACAAATGTCAGTTTTTAGCTCAAGTCTGATCTTGAATTTTTAAAAAGCTTTTGATGGTCTTTAGTGTATAAACAACAATAAGTAAAGCTTGACACTTAAAAGGAACCAAAAGTGACTTGAAAGATTTCAAAAGTCGCTTTTTTTAAAACAAAAACGTCTCGTAGACCAAAATAGCTCATTTATGATCCAAACAATGCTTAAAAATAGTACGGTATGCCTTTAGAAAGATATAAAAACCTACGCTAACAAGGAACAACTCTAAAAACACAAATTATGGCAGAAAAGGTCACCAATCACTTTCGGGGAGAAGAGAAGAATGATTTCCCAAGAGAAAAATCTCCGTTTTATGCCATCCTTTTGCTACGGTAGCTCACGAGGTTGTTATTTAGAATTCGAATTTAGATGTTTCGTTCAAATTTTTTCGTTTCATTAAGGTTTTTCAAGCAAACCCTCAGATCTCAGCACCAATGCCTTTGTTGGTGTTCCTTTTGGTACCAAATTAAAATAGAGAAAATGGGTGATTTTCTCGGAAATATGGCACAGATTTTTAGCATTAATCAGTCTTCAGAAAAAATGATTGAAAAGTGGCAATAAATAAATCCTATTTTGTTTGTACCGATCTTATTGATAAGCAAATCGATGGACAGGCTCTAGTGGGTCTCAATTTTGACGAAACAAATCAACAAAAACGAGTACGTGGCACTTTTAAAAGTCTTTGTTGCAAGTTTAGTGTTGACTGAGCACTTAGGCAAGCTTTAGACTTTAATTAGACCAAGGTTGTTCAGGAATCCGAAATAGTCTAGGCAGTGAAAGTGAAATGAAATGGATTGGATGAATGAAATGGAGATGAATGAGTTTTGGGCCATTCTCCTCACCAAAGTAAAAAGGTAGCAACAAGGGGAAAAGAAAGATTTTTGAGAGGCAATGATTCAAGGTGCTCTGAAATAATACGAGTGCTTGAGTGCTCGGGTTGGCTAAGGTGAGTCAAAGCTTTCAAGGCATACTTGTGACAAATTCTTCGATTGTTTTTGGACAGCACGTCTGTACAATCTCCATACGGCAGATCATCACATGATTCCATCTGTTCCAACACTTCTAACTTCAAATCGAAACACAACCCCTTTTATGGATAGCATAAATCTGAGAGAAACAGTAGAATTGACTTCGGCTAGCCAAAAAGGCAGTACTATCGATTTAAGAGAACTTAAAAAAGAAAAAGAAAGCTTTAAGAAAACTCTAAAAAGTGTTTGAATTTTTTGAATTCTTAAGGAGCTCTAACTAGGGAACTGTTAAACTCGGAATCGATCTGGGGTATGTGACCTATCTACAAAACGCCACCGTGAAAAGTTAGGGGATACGTGTTTCCTTATTTTTACCTTTCCATAATTAGAAACCTGTAAAAACGCACCTAAAGTTCTGGCGATTTTTGGAAAATCGGGGTTAAATTTGAAAATGCGTTAAATTTGAGGATCCGCGGCACTTGGACAAGTAAATTTTGATTTGCGATCATTTCGCCTTAACTCATTTCGCTTAAAAATTTAAATGCCAATATAAATGCTGACTTGACACGTGAGACACTCAATACGCGAATATTTTTTCCGTTTCGTATCAATGGGACATTACTTTTGTGGAGCTATTTGTTAAGTAACTTATTGTTTTTGTTTTTTACTTTAATTTTTCTGCAATGTATACGGGTATATCTTATAATCTTGAAAAGTAGAGTATTATGGGTATGCAAAATACCCTACACTTTTTGGGAATATCGTTATTTTGCAAGATTTTCGTACGAAAGAAACTTTTGGATGGCAATGGGACAATACTTTTGTGGACCACTGTATAGATACTTTATTCATAACCTGAGACAAAGTGCGCTAGATTTAAGATTAATACACATGAATTCATACAAATAGCACGAAATGGGCCGATAAAAAGCAACACGATATAATAGATGTAAGATATGGGTAGCACAGATAACGTCATGGATCCACTAGAGCTTCAAGATCAAGATCATCTGCAGATAATTAAGAATCGAAAAAATTCTGAAGTGAAGTAGTTTGAAAGGGATGAAATGTCTAGAAAAACAAGAGGAGGAAAAAAATGAGTACTCCTTTCTTTCTTTTCTTCCAGATAGAGTTCCCACCAGCATAGAAAATCTGTCAAAAAACAAAGAAAGGTAAAGAATTCAGGAAACGAATTGGAGAAAACAACTCGAGTAAAACTTGCAGAGAATTTCAAGGAAGTTTCAGACATTTTCAATGTTTGTCTTAAACGGGTACACTTTAGTTTTTTTATGGAATAACAACAAATAAAGTCTTCTATCTAAATTCTTTCAAAATTTCTCAAAAAAAAAAAAAAGGCAGCTTTGAGGTGTAGTTTAAAAAAGTTGATCTATTTATCCCAACCTTAGACTATTCCTTAAGATGATTCTTAGTCGTGAATAAATCTGTAATTTAAACAACTGTAAATCTATCAGCCTGCTTGGTTCTTTATCTTCTGGCAAAATTAGACTCTGAAACTTTGCAAGTACTTGACAATCGTCAGCCATAAAAGTGCCCTACAGAAGTTAAAAGATAAAGGATTTTTTTAAATGTTATTTTCTACTTTCAAAGTTTTTGTGCAATAAAAAATGTAATATTTTACTTGATTGCAACAATAATTTATTAAATTAGCTACACAGTCCATGAGTTTAGGAAATCACAAAACCCTATACGAAAAAGAAAATAACCCGAATAACCGATGGTGATTGCATCAGTTCATGAAAGGGTAGAACAGGATTTAGTTTCAAACCCCTAAGTAATAAAAATAACAACAAAAACAAGAAACAAATACTTAAAAATCACAGCTCGGTATGATCATCGACTTTTGCGGATTTCGCTTGAAGTCCTTCACTTCTCCGGGAAACCACCTAGAAAAGGAGAGTGAAATTTTTAACCTTCAGTTCACGCTATATTACTACTTTGCGCCAAAATTGGGTCTTTTGCACTGATTTTGGTGTCATTTTGTAGATCTCAACAAGTGCAACAAAATAACACCAAAATCATAAAGACTGGCCCACTTAAAAGCAAGTTATGGTGAGTTGCGCAAAAACCCAGTTGGGCAAAAAATTTGGCGCAAAGTAGCCACTCCGCATATTATAACATGTAGAATAGATTCAGGATGCTTCTGGTCATGACACACTTAATCTTATATGTTATAGTATACTGTTACTGTAAGTCACATATTTTTTTTACAGTAAAAACTTGCCTAACTATGGACAAAAGCTGGTTCTAGACCTTCTGGGATTAATATTTTTGGTTTTAATTGCAGAGTCTAGTGAGTCTATTAGCTTAATTAATGTACCTGTTTCAAAATATAGTAGTAGCGATCTGGTGCTATATTTGTTAAAGTTTAAAACTTTCGTGAACTAATTACAGTACTTTTGCCGCAAATTGCTTATTTCTATTTTAAAGCTACTGTCATTTTACCTCTTTGATCTCTCGATCGTAATCACGCCATTCGGGAATGATTCGTTGCGCCGACTCAAGTTTTGGCTCTTTCGTATGGGGATTGTTGCACTGAAAAGAAATAATTAGTCAGTTCCAGTATCTTTACAATTTATCCAACTCAATCAACGCACCAAATCGATTGTTTTTGCCGACCCCTTGCTCTCATCGTCACACCATGTCTCACACCAAAGCCATTCTTGTGGAAGTGACTTGATTCGTACCTGAGAATTTTCCATTTTTCTTTGATCATATCATTTTTTGAAACCTGATGGATCATGTTGTTGGGTAGATCTTGATCCAAGTTCGACAAGCTGTTTGGATCAGCCGACAGGCCTTGGTACTGTCCGCGTAGCCGATCACCGGCGGCGATTTGGCGGAATTTGTGCAAGTCCACGACGTACAAAGCACTAAGTTGACAATTTGCTGTTTTACAGTAATTTTACAATTGTGAACTGGAAAGTGTCATCAAAGCCTTACCTAATGTGATATCTTCTTCCAGCCAAGTGATTCTTCCAATAGCCTTGTTTCCAGAATCGGAATCCCTCCATCGATTGCCGGGAGTCACAGAAAGGAACATATCTGAAAGAGCACAGGAATTCCAGAAATTTCAAGTATTCATACCCGTATGGGTTCCCATCGAGCCCATAATTCATCAACTCAATCAAATCCGAGCGCACGACTTGATCCGCGTCGACGAAGATGATCTTTTGCACATCCAACGGGAAAAGCACATCCAAGAACAAGATCTGAAAGTTTTTTTGAGATCAATACTGAGATCATTTTGGTTAAAGTTTCAGCTACTTTAAACCCACTTTATATCCCCACATGATACGGTGCTTCTCTTTTTGCTGATGGAGCCATCTCGGCCATTTGTACTCGACCAATTGATACTCGAATCCATATTCTTGAGCCAAAAGCGGGAGATCTTCCTTGAATTGTGGACTGAGGTAGTTCTTCAGAAGCCAGAATTTGACGTTGCTTTTTGTTGTTTTCATCACGGACAAGATCATAATGCGCATGAAGCGCTCATAGAGATGACCGGATGCGAGAGAGAAAACGTTGATTGTTTCATGTTTTTCGCCAACTGGAATTTGATTTTTTGATTTGGATTTAGACAATCTAAATAAAACCTATTCTTGGCACTTAAGCTAGTTTAAGGTTACATAAAGTTAAGAAAGAACAGACATGAACCGTTTATTCTGGTTATCAGACATTTGATACGCGCCTCGCCCCTTTTGTCAATGATAATCTAACTTTGAGCTCAAATATCCTGACCTTGGGCTGTTCAATTTTAATATTCTTGGTATCATTAGATGCACCAATTCTTTCTCTGGCGATTGGTATCAAAAACTATTTAAATTGGACAGCCTAACACCAAGACGTTTGAGCTCAAAGGCTAAAAGTTAGATTGCCAATGGCGAAAGGGGCGGGGCACGTATCAAATGCCCCACAATCGTTTATTCTTACTTACCAAGCGTGCCGAGACTGCTCCAAATGCCACCACCCTCTTCACCGCTATCCAACAGTTTCTCGTCTTCTTTCCCTTCGTTCTTGGCCACTCGAACACGTATCACTTTGCCTGGAAATATAGCCTTATATTGCTGGAGTCTGGATAAAAATACCGTTGAAAGAGTTGATAATGATCCGCACTCGATCGTCAACATCACCATCCGTATTCAAATGCGATTGAATCTTGTAGATTTCTTTCGATTTGCCCTCGCGAAGTTGCAGCAACCAAGCACCCGGGTTGGCCTAGGTTCAAAAATATAAGCTATAATAGTTGGGTTTCTAGAGTTGGAGAATATATTAGACTGTTCAGAAAGCCTTTTCTTTCCTTTTCATACTTCCATTGAAAAATAACAAATTCACGAATTAACCTATCGTTTGCTCTAAATAAGAAGTGTTTTTTGTTCAATTTCCCATCTTTTAAAGCCAATTTGGGTTCACTTTTAAGCAAATTCGAGAGTGAAAATACGTGTTTTTGTCGTAAAAATCTATATAAACCTCCACGAAGAAATTGGCTAATTCAATTTCTCTGAAAATTTGGCTATTTACCTGACTTTTTGTGCTCTATCTTTTATCTATTGACACGAAGATAGGTTTCCTTAGCTAAAGTGTCTAAACCGCATCATCGAACCGTCTTTTTGACTACCCGACTTCACGCTCCCAAAAAATCCAGACATAAAACATTTTTAAATCTTTTTAATGTTATTTTGCAGAAAAATGAATGGCTTTTCTAATGAAACAAACCGTAGTTTAATTGGTACATTTGTTGTTTTAAAACGGAAGTACGAAAAGGAATGAAAAGACTTTCTTGGACAGTCTAATAACATAGTTACTAGATCAGCCACAGCTAACCAACCTTCAATTGGAAATAACCCAAGTTGGCCATGACAATTGTGTCGTAGATCGTTGGATCGTTCACATTTCCAAGATCGAATTGCAAGCCACGAGGCGGACCGCCAGTGATCTAAATTGACAGTTCACCAGCTCTTTCCAACACGTTTACCTCATCGAAACAATGTCCTTCCAGCAAAATATTTTGCAGTTCAAAGACAGCTTCAACATCTTGTGAAACCTGGAAACCATTATCTATGCCATTTTGACCTTCTTACTTGATCCAATTGAATATTATCCAAATCGTAAAGAGCTGAGACGGCTTCGATCATCCAGGCTTCTGGTGGATGGACACTGAAAAAGAAATGAAAAAGCATGAGGTTAGAAACCTTATTTCAAGTCCAACCTCAAAGCCAGAAGTTGCTTAGTGGGCAAGGCAGAGAATCGGGCTTGTCGAACAGCGATTTGGCCAGCGCTGTCAAATTGAAGCTCGGCGGCGGCAACGTAGCGATAGAATCTAAAATTTCCTTAATAAATTAAATCAGTACTGCTTGTTTTTATATGTCTATTGGTAATACAATTGCAACTACAGCCAGAATGTAAGCCAGGCTAGGTAAGGAAAGACCAGAGCCAGAGTTTCAGGCCTGACTTCTGGCGGACCTAGGAACTTTTTATAGACTAAAACTGTAGTTAAGTTAGAATTTGGCTTCTGATCTGACCCTGGCCTTGCCCGAAAAATCGCTTTTGCACAATCCAAACTATTTCTACCTCTTCAATGGCAGCTCACTGAGCTTTGCTTTCGGGTTCATCACAATCTTGATATCACAGTTCACCGTTTTCCGCAACAAATGAAGAATTGGAGCCAACTTTTGCGCTTCCCTGAAAGCCTTTGTAAATTTTTCGAATCATCGATCCTGCCTGCTCAACGGATCAACAACAGCAAAAACATCCAAAGTGGCACGGGTCGGATCATCAGCATTGAGAGTGACAACACTCTTCTTGTCATCATGAAGTGCAACCCAAGAGCGCTAAATGGTCTTGTAAAAGGCATTGGGGTGTGTCGTACCTTTTGAGTTGCTGAAGATCTTCCGATGAGAGAGAATGTTCGGAGAACGACATTTGATGATTTTCCGTCTTTCTTCTCAACTTCCCATTTGTCGATGTGGGTGGCAACAGCCTAGAAAGGTGTTTATTGTGACGATAGCAATTTAATGTTACCAGAAGCTATGCAAAACTTTTTATATGCAAATTTTCAGTGCATAAATTTTGTTTTAAGGACCACTGGATCTCGTGTGACTTGTACTTGTGAAAGAAAAGGTACTTTTGACTTTTGTGAACAAAGAATACATGCAGAACAAGGTACTCGTATGGTGGTGTTTAATTTAGACTCCCGAGTCACTTATTCTCCGAATTATTTTTACTTTGGCTCCTCGTGCATGTAGAAGTTTCTCTAGCAACACCACATCCTCCTCTTCAATCTTTTCCCCGTCATCAAGAGGCCCGATCCGCATTCCATTGGCAACGATTGCCGATTTCCCTGGCGCAACACCAATTACCTGAATCTTCTTTATAAAAATTTCAATTGATCAATTACCTCTTTAGCAAATACACTGTGCATTTTTATATGTTCACAAAGTGGCAACAGAGAACGGTCTTTCTCAAAAGCTTCCACATTCATTCCTCCAACAGCCAAATCGGCAATCGAAGAGCCTTGATTTTCTTCCTGAATGAATTCATAGTTTCTTAGTTTTTTAACAAACTACCTTGACAAACTTTGTCACCATCAATTTTGCTTGGTTTGATGGAAGTAAACGGAGAGCGGCAAGAATTCTCGAAGTTGTGCTCTCGGGTTTACAGGCAGCTTCAAGCGACGATGGGTTTGGAATGAAAGCAATGCGGCTGGTCGAGCTGAAAGACGGTTTGGTTTATTTTGGCTTTGGCTTTTAATTCTTGCCCAATTTTGTGCAAATTGCCAAAACTTTTATCACTAATTCTACCGTAAACCCAAGCTACTATAATTTCAATGAATTCAAATTTGTGCAAAAGATTATTGTCAATATCATTGATTCGACTTGGACCTCCTAGAGTCAAATCCTCATTATTTACCTGTGCTTCAAATGCTTGATGTGAGAATAAGCCAAATCTCGTCCCTCTTCAGTCTCCAAATCGGTAACAACCCACAATGTAGCTGCTTTTGTCGATTCTTCGTCACCCCTGTAATTTATTGGATTCATTCACCACGTTTCATTCATAAAATTGTGTTCTGTAACTCACTTGTTCATGTACTTCAGCTTGTCAATCATACAGGTTCCTTTCTGGGCATTGTCGAGCGCTTCAAATTCCTTGACGTTTTTGGCCTTGCATCCGAGAACATCTACAAAGCTTTTTGTAACCTTCAGCTTTCAAAATTACTTGTCAAGTCCAGATAGTCAGCTTGTGTTGGTGGTGAGAGGATCCGTTTGTTTAAGCGAGGCATGATGTCTGGTTGTTCCAATAGCCAGTTTTGCACGTTGCTCTTATCCTAAACTTTAGATATCAACTACTGTAACTGTAAAATAAAGTCATTTTAATTTATAGATTTAGAGAATGATGTCTATTGAACAAATTCTGTTACTACTTTGAGGCAAACCTTCAGTGTTCCATCCATGACAGCTTTCTGAAGTTTCGGTGTAATCTTCATAATTTCCATCATGATCGTCTCCTCAATTTTGTCTCCAGAAATCTGAAAACACTCCTCAACTTTTCAAAACCTTAAAAACTCACTCCTTCATCCTCAAGCGCATATCCGTTCAAAAGCACTTTTGGTGCTTTACCGATCGCTGATTTCTTCAGAAAAGCAGCTCCTTGTGCGCGTCCTTTATCATAATCAGATGAAGCTCCAAACACGTCATTGATATCACTATCCTGAACAGTCATGCAATTTCGTCTGCTGACAACTGAATGCTCTCAATCTTGCGTTAAACTTCTTACACCAGATCCAGACTTTGATTCGCTCATAGAGAAGCAAACTTACAATTTTGGTGCAAATTAATACAAGTATTTACCTTGAAATTCCGCTTGAAGAATGTATGAACTTCTTCAACGCTAATTGTATCCCTGGTTGCGAGACCATCATACAACTTGTTCACCATCTTCAAAGCCTGCTCCACGGAGGTGTCAACGAGCACAAAGTTGAAGAGGTTGAGAATTGCAACTCCAGCATCAGTCATACCAGTTACCTAAAAAATTTTGCCTGATGCATAAGCCTAAAACTTTTTACTTCTTTATCTGGTGAAACGGAGAAGACGAGTCCAATCCTCAATGGGATTTCGTGTTGATAGAAAGATTGAGCAATCTTCATCAAATTTCGACTTTCTTTGTCTTTTGGATCAACAACAAAAATCAAATTGAAAAGATTTCTGGCAATTGGTCGAATCATTCCAGGGTAGTACGGTTGAAGCATCAACTTCACAGAGTTTCCCCATTGTCTAAAATCTTTAAATGTATTTCTTCTTTATCTTTAGTCTAATCTTTAGATCAATTGCCCTCACTTGTATTTCTTGTCGGTATCCAAATTGTTAACATAGAATGGGACGGCATCTCTGTAGTCAACACCATAATTTGATCGTTCAGATGACATGTCGAGTGAGACAAGAATGGATAGGTACTCTCGCCGGAAACCCATATTGAAGAAGCCTTCACCGAGTTTCTCTTCTTGTTTCAAAGTCTCGAGCATCTGAAAAAAAACGACTATTTTAAGTGTACAAAAATGTACTCTGAAAAATTAGGATCCAGTTCGTTAGTACAAAGGAAGAATCTTTCGTTAGCACAGTATATTTGTACCTACGATTAAAGATTAAAGCCGCTGACTTACTATTGCATCTAGTACTCTTATCCAATTCATTTCTTTTAATTAAATTTAATTCAATACCTGGAATATATCGAGATCATCAACGTCCAATTTGATTCCATTGATGTAAAGAGCAGAGTCACCGGGTGAAAGATCGTGTTGTGAGAAAGCTTCTCCTTGATTCAGCTCGATTTCCTTACGCAGCTCATCATCAACTGTTTCTCTTGCTAGCAGTCTAAATATTTTGGCTTTCATTGGAAGAACATTAGTCCTCAATATATTAAGGTAAAATTATTATCAATATTCAATTTTTAACCAACCTAGCATGCGTGGGGAAGTTCTGACTCAAGTCGACCAATGCATCAATCGCATTCTCTGCTTCTGCTGACACAACTTTTTGAGCAGCCTAAAGGTTTCTTGATTTTGAAACATTTTAAAGATTTTTACCTGGAATCCAAGATCCTGTACTTGCCACTGTTTCAATGGAGCTAACTCATCGATTTCCCTGAAGAGGATAGATTTTTAATAAGCTTAATTCTTAATTTTTAATAAGATAAGAGCAAACATTGATTTGCGCTAGAAGATATCGAAACTATTGATATGCCAAGATAAAACAAGAACCTTCCTCACCTTAAATGCTCTTGGAACTGTTGGAGAGACTCAATGTGGTCCGGGTAAAGTGTCTTCAACAATTTGATATTAACACCGTGGAGATTCTCCGAATCGGTGATTGGTTCCTTAATCAAGTTTCAGGAAATCGATGAAAACACCAAACCTTGACAGTGTTTGAATCATCTTGAGCCTTGTATTCAGTGTTCTTGATCGAGAGCTCAACTCCATAACCGGAAAGCGAGATCGACTTTTGGCCATGCTTCTAAAATACAATAGTGGTAGAATGGACTTTAACTGACAACTATTTTTAGAACTTACGTTATAATGCCTGAAAACATAGTTGCATTTCCCAGCTTTAACGAGTTCCACAGCTGCATCATGCAGCAATTTCCATTCAGTTGATCCAATCTTTCCATAAACAAGTACCAATTTGGTTGAGTTAACGGGTGAATACTTTACATCTGATGAGGTAAGTTCTGGTAGTTTTCTAAAATTGGATTTATTATTTATTTGAGAACAAATCCACTTCTCATCAGCGCTTTCAAGTGCAGAAACGAGCTCCTCTTTCGTGCATCCAGTTCGGCTATGAACATCGAAAAAGGCCTCGCAGTTGAGCTTGTGCTCGATGCCCATCTAATTGTAAATTTACATTTTGTTATTATAATATATCGTTTATAAATTCAAAATTTATACCTGGTGAAAAGCGACAACTTGTGGTGCATGAGCTCGAACTGCGAGCGAAATTTTGAGCAGATCAATCGCTCCTTCTCCAATCGAATCCGCGGCCTCGGCTAGCGAGATTTCGTACTCTTTCTCGTCAGTTTCTAAAATTTATTTAGAATCACATAAAAACATTTCTTTTACCATAGCTGAGAGGTGACTTGGCAGCAATATTGTCGACAAATCTCCAGAAATCTTCTGATCCTCTTTGTCGGAAGAATTCACTAAAAATTAGATTAAAAAGCCTGATAGAGACTTCCAAGCAGAAGCACACTTCCAAGAAAAAAAATGAAAAAATTGAATACCTTTAAATTGTAAAGAAAAGATGGGAAAGGTGAAATGATTTTGAGCACGACTTCAAGAGCGCGAGTAAAAGACGTTTTTTAGTAAAAGCAATTTGTTAAACGCTACACTTTACACTGTGTAAAGTGAGTGAATCACTCCTTTTGACTGAATATTTTGCTATTTCAAGGAGAGGCTACTATTACAGCTTTTACGGTAGATAAATCATACCCTAACCATTTTCTTTTCCTTTCTTCCCAATCTCACCTTGTCTCCGATAGAATAGACGATCCTGTCCATGGGGCCTGCAAGCTTATCACCACATCGTGAGCCCATATCGGTGTTGTTGAAAGGAGAACCGCTCCCAAAAGCGGCCACACTTTCATCGGCTCTAAATCAATAGAATTAGGAAAAAAGATTTCGAGTAAAGAAAAAAATAGAAATTTTCAAAGATGGAAGAAAATATATGAGAAGTCTTTGGAGCTGGTCAAAACCGCGCCACAGCCAAAATAGCCCCTCCGCGGTTAGTTTTATCTGTTTCTTATTCTTATTGGATGCAGAATAAAATTGTCTACATTTTGCATACTTTTGAATCACTTAAAACAGGATTAGTGTCGAGAAAAGCCAAGTTAACCTCTTTTTGAACCCTTTTTTCGTTTTTCGACATTTTCTCATCCCAAATTTGTTCTAAACGGCTACAAAAAATTCAGTAGATAGCTAATTTTTTTTCTATATCCAATGAAAATAAGAAACATAAATAAACTTCACCGCAAACGCATTATTTTGGCCGGCGCTGTTTAGATCAGCTCCCAAAGTCTTAGGTATGTACAAATATGTTTGGGTTTGCTCTAAACGTTTTGTTCTAACCACTGAAAAGCATCGGCTAAGAAACAATAAGGTTTTTTAACGAGAAAAACTACATGTGAAAGAAAATCGAATAAAAATCCATACCAGAAATTTTTGGTGACAAGAAAATTTGATCTCTAAATATGTGGCTTTATTTTAACAAAAGCTAGCATTCAAAAAATTTCACTGACGTGGGATAAAAGTCGTAGTTTATCGTCTGTTACCATAATCCAACTTTAGCAAACAAGTTTTCTCTTTGAGACCGGGAAAGGACTATCGGATAGGTGAAAGAACAATTTCTATAATTTTTTTTGCTCCTTCTATAACTCTCGGGAAGGATTACACTGGGGAATAAAGAAAAAGAACAAAATCGTCATGAATGAGAAGTTTGGTCATCATGACACTTTGGGAAATAGCAAACTTTAAAAATTGCAAATCTCGTTACTGAGTTCTTTGTAATCAAGTCTTAGTTTAATAAAAAATAGCTAAAAAGAATTTTTCTAACATTTACCAAAATAATCTTACTTTCTAAACATTGCCCAGCTAGCTCCAGTAACCGTAAACCGTAAATTTTTACCGTTTACCGCCTCACCGCCTGATAAAGAGAAATTTAAAGTTTCTTCAATAGTAAGAACATATTTTTAATGAAATTTCCTTCAAAACTTCAAAAAGCTTATTGGAATAATCATTGGTAGATCAAAGCACAGATCGATCAAAGCATAGTAATCGAGAACCTTTATGGCTTATGACAAAGCACACAGGATATTCATCCCTCTTTTCCTCCCAAGGTCACATCACATAATCTCCTAATTACTCTTCCACACGAAATGCAGCTGTCTATGAACTACCTCATGAAAAAGCAAAAACAAAACCGCAATGATCTTGGTTTTCTCGTGATAAACTTTACCAATTAAAAAGTGGGCGGACTGATTTTACCGAAATTCTGATTCCCCAGAGGGAAGGCATCTTTTGCAAATACGAACAAGAGCAAAAATATTTTCCCCTGATCGTAGTCTTTTTAAAATAACTTGTTTTCGTCTTTTGTAGATGTACATTCAAAAACTAAGTGTACCCGAGCTCTTATTTTCTATTCCTGCTCAATTTCAAGACCATTCCAGTCTAGAGACTGGTTTAGCCTAGAGACTTAGTACTATGTACAGTACGTACCACGTACAGTACCAATACCAGTACCACGTACAGTACCAGTACCATGTACAGTACGCACCAGTACTATGTACAGTACGCATTAGTACTGTGTACAGTACGTGAGTAGGGAATTACGTACCAGTCTCGGTTTCATTTTGCCTTACATTAGTTAGCTTTTTCGGGGATTCCGGGAATTGCTTCTAAATTGCACCACCAGTCTTGCAAAGCTTACAACTAGCTTGATTTTCAAGTTTAGCACATCCAATTACCCAATACATTTAAAAAAATAAGAATTTGACTACCTAACAATCTTTTCTTCAGTTGAGCCCGGGAATGACTAGTTCAAGATTCAGCAAAAGCATTTTAATCTTCAACAATTCATCTGACTAAGCCAGTCTCTGAACTGCCTTCTAAAACTAAAAAGGCTTATGGAATTACCTAGAAAAATTACCTCTGAAGCAATTGGTTATCAAAGATAGCTCCAGATTTTGCTATCACTTAAAATATTACTCTCCGATCGTTGATGTTTCCATTTTAGGTATTTCTCAATTAGAGATTTTCTCATTTCTCACATTTTCAACGAGCCGCACTTTTCTCGCTCTCCTCTCTTTGCATCCTTAAATGTCCCAGCTTAGTCCCATTCTCTGAAATATTCCCTTGTGTTCTTTTTGATAATTCATTGCGCACGAAAATTGAAAATTTTCGATTATTTTTGATCACTAATTCTGCAAAAACACATATTTTTTTCAAAGTTCTATGAAATTGAAAACTCTCTTGCACGATCCATTTTCTTTCTTTGTTAAAGTTTTTGAGTGGGAATTTTCACCCATACTACTCTTTAATTACCACACTTGAGACAAAAAGTAAGCAATTTTTGAGTATTCTTTTGCGAAAATTGCCTCATTTTCAATTCCCGTTGACTGATAATTTATGCAAGTTACGTGGAAATTGAAATTCCGCCATTTTTTACATTTACTTTAAGAACTTTCTTTGTTTTAAAGAAAAGATTTGTTTCAAATCAGATATAATCTTGAAGATCTAGATTTTCTAGACTAACATTTCTTTTTACATTTTCTTTTTTTTCCCTTGGCCTCTGTGGTATCTTTCTTGAGATTACCCATTCGGATCTTATGCAGAATCCGGATGTTTTCGAGAACTCAGTTTTCATCAAAAATCCTGACAGATTGCAACTCTTTGATCTTGAAATGTTACACCAACGCTGCCTTATCATCGATTTAGTGGAATGCTTTAAAATTGTTAAAGGCATTCATCCCGACCCCCTTTTTTTCTAGTCTCTTTGAATTCGGCTCTCTACGGGGCGCCTTCAGAAGAGGACCTTTTCTCATACGCCAACCTTCCGTTTCCTCTAAAAGCCCCCCACAGTTTCTTTTTTAACCGAGTTATTAAATCCTGGAACATTTTACCCTCACATGTTCGTAATATTCCCACCTTGGCTAGATTTAAAGCCGCAATTTCGGCAATTGATTTGACTGCTCAGTGATTCTTTCTTGGGGTATCTATTTATCTTTTGGGTGTGTTTTGAGTGGTGTCCCGGGTAATTATTGTGATTTTGTTTTGTCGCTATTCAACTGAATAAAGCATATATATATAATTTATGCAATTTACGTGGAAATTGAAATTCCACCATTCTTTGCATTTACTTTAAGAACTTTCTTTGTTTTAAAGAAAAGATTTGTTTCAAATCAGATATAATCCTGAAGATCTAGATTTTCTAGACTAACATTTCTTTTTACATTTTCTTTTTTTCCCTTGGCCTCTCTGAGGTGTCTTTCCTGAGATTACCCATTCGGATCTTATGCAGAATCCGGATGTTTTCGAGAAGTCAGTTTTCATCAAAAATCTGTTCTTTTTATTTGCTCTAATAAAGTCAAAGTTTATTTTTATTCAATAATACACTGTTCTACATGATTATAACCTCAAATTTTTCTTTTAGCAAAAACAAAATTTTTATAAAGTTTCGTAAAAAGTTGTCGAAGAGAAAATGTGTTAAATGTTAATCCTAAAATTTGTATAGACACTAAATTTGAACAGAAAACAAGCAAAAAAGAATAAGACTTTTCAAAGAATCGTCTTTGATCAATCCACCCTCACTTAAGTAAAACTTTATTATCAAACAAGAAATAACAACTGAGTAAAAGAATAACATTTAATAATCAATTGAACCTTCATTTTAGCGAATAAGAAGGAAAATCCCTATCATCCACTTCTTTTTTTTAGCTACACCACGTGACAGCATACCCAGAAAGTAACCCTTTTAACCCAGGAAAAGGCTAAATTTTCGTCTTTTGCAATTTAAAACGCTGTAACTCGGTCAAAAATGTTCGGATCAGCCCACATGAGATACCAAAATGATTCTTGAACTCTTTTCTACAACTTTCAATCAAAAACTCTTGACGAAAATTTGTTTGAGTCGGCTAAACTTTGGTCAAAAGGTGTGCAAATCGGTTTCTCATCCCAAAAGTGAGACATCGACAACGTCTCTGGCACGAAATTGCGATAGATTATTTTTCCAGACACTTTTTATGATCAAAAAAAGAATTACACAAGATAATAGTAGATTACACGGAGACTTTTGTAAAAAATCCCAAAATACAGATCGATCTGGTGTCTTTCAACTCTTTATTTGACCAAAGCTACTCTTTATTTGTTATTGGATGATAAGATTTTTGCTGCTTATTCGCCAAAATGAAGGTTCAATTGATTATTAAATGTTACTCTTTTGCTCAGTTTTTATTTCTTGTTTTGTAATAAAGTTTTTCTAATGTAAGGGTATAATTAAATGGATTGGCCAAAGACGATTTTTTTTGAAAAGTTTCATTCAAAATTTTTGCTTGTTTTCTGTTCAAATTTAGTGTCTATACAAATTTTAGTACAACTAGTGTTTTAACTTTTACAAAACCATTATAACTTTGCTTTTGTTTGAGCCTTTTTATTTGAAATCATTCTGTTTTAGCTTTGTTTTTGGTTTTTCTTATCCAGAATAGCTAACTGAAGCCTATTTCAATTGCATGACTTTTGCAATTTTCTTCAAAAATTCTAAACTCGAAGTTCAGATGTTATTCCTTGTCCTCTCCATATCATTTCTACAAAAGCTCACCATTTCTGTGCCTCATCGAGAACTACCCAAACTCAATCAAATGCTACAACCGCCAAACGACTATCTCAAAACTAATTCATTAAGAGATTTCTCCATTCCAGAAGATGGAATTATTGATGAGTTGCACGAGTGGGATCCGAACCGGATAATTGAGTAAGTTCAATTAAATCTGAATTAATTTAAAAAAGAAAACAGGTGCATATTCTGTGTCGACTACGATAACTTTTTGACGATCTCTGTGACAGCTTGCAAGAGTAAAAGACCGCTCACATGCAAAGGGAATGTATGCTTTATGAGTAAGTTTGAAATTGATCAGTTTGTAAAATTTCAAAGAAGTTACAGGACAACACGATCAAAGTTCTTTCTTATTAACAACGTGTGGGTGTCTGAATTTGACAAAAGCAGAGCATCAAAGCATTCAAAGAAATATGGCAATTGGAGAGAAGAAGAAAATGCCAATGAGTAATCGAAAAGCGACACAACTTTGCGAAGTAAGGCAGCAATGATATTTAGACGCTAGACTGAATAGTTTTCATTTCAAATAGATTTTTAAGTCAAGTCTTTACCCATCAGCCATCATATTGAGGGAAAAATTTCAAATTTTAGATTGACTTTAAGCATATTTAATGGCAGTTAACTTAATTTAAGGAAAATTAAGTTAACTGCGATTAAATATGCTTAAAATTGCTCAAAAACGGAAACCCACCCTTTCTGGTGTACTAAATTCGTTTGGATATACAGTTAAACCATAGATTAGTATGCTAGAAAGTTTATGTTTCCATTTTCAAGCTCAAAGAGCATCACCATAAAGAAAAAATCCTTTCCTTTTCAGGTAACAAGTGAAGGGTCAATCTGTCTTTGCACAAATCGTCCGATTTGCAACAACTACAGCACAAATGATCCTTTTACCGAGTACATCTCACCGTTGTATTCCTTTGATTTCCATGAGATCATTCACTTCAAGTTTCTTATCCATTAAACATCAAAAGCTTATCAAATTTTAGATACTTTGTCCCAAATGAGGGACTTCTCAAGAAAGTTGACACTCGATACTACGATGAGATTTTGAAACTCCATTATGTGCCCGGTTTTCGTACAGGAGCCATTCGAGAGCCAAGCCGTTCCAGTGTCTCGCTGAAACTTTCCCCATTCCACTCACTCATACCCTTCTTTTTCTTTTTATTCGTTTAAAACTTGTACCTCTTGAATTCTACGGGTGTTTCATGTTAAAGTGTATAAATATTTCCAAATTAAAAGACAAAAAATTTGAAGTAGCTGAATCTTTTTTTTTGGTTGGGTTTAAGATCGACAAAAAAGCCAGCCATTCACATGAAACACTTTCGCGGCCATCCCAGCGGGAGTCGGGCCGAAAAAATAAAACTGGTAACCTGTGCAGGATGAGCTTTTTAAAGAAAAATGCACATATAAAAAGCAAACGGATAACCGGATAACAAATCGTTTTACTCTCACTATATAAATGGAAAGCAGTAGTGAGATTTTCAGCTTATTTTTTTGGAAAATAGTTTTCCTTTCTTTTTTGCGTACAGTACATTATATCCTTTCAAGTACTACTTTGAATTATTATAAATAATGTATTAAAGATACTTTGAACTGTGTTTAGACTCTAATTCAAGACATAAACCTGAACCTAATAGTTGTAGACGTAAAATAATTTGTACTTTCATGTGGTAGCTTTATTGTACCATTTTGTTCACTTCTACAGTCATCCTTCTTTCAGATGTGGTTTGTTGGTTTGGCCTCAGCGGCCTCCCTAGGGGCGCTCCTCATCGCATTGGTCTCAGTCGGTGTCATCGTGAATGACATCAACGAGATGGACAGTGAAATCCGTCACGGTCTCTCGGAGTTCAACTTCGAGTATGAGGACGCTTGGGCAAAAGTGCGCAACGTTCATTTGTTCCCCGATGGCAACTCAGGTAACAGATCCAAGATAATATCCAATCATTTACTGATAAAGCTCTTTAGACGCTGCCCCTACTTTCGTTTCACTCTACGGCCGCAAGAAGAGAAGCAACGAGGAGTGCAACTGTGGCCCACAATCTAGGGGATGCCCCGCTGGAGCACCCGGTCTTCCTGGAGCACCGGGAGATCGTGGAGATGACGGAACCCCTGGAGAGGATGGACGCCCTGGAGCCAAGGGAATTGCACTTGTAAGTTTCAAGGATTGTACCAAAAATTGAACAATGCTAGATGGTCACTCATCACTACGAAGGAGGATGTATTCCATGCCCACCCGGACCCCGTGGACCCCCTGGACCCCAAGGAAATCCTGGAGGCGCTGGAGAGCCCGGAAACCCGGGAAGATGTAAGACTTAATCTTCGAGATATGAAATCAATAACTTTTTAGCTGGACCATCTGGAAGTCCTGGAGGACGTGGAGGACCCGGAGAGCCCGGAGACGCTGGAACCCCCGGTACACCTGGACTTCAAGGACGCCCTGGACGTCCAGGAGCTCCTGGAACCCAACCCGGAGAGGCCAAGCCTGGACGCCCTGGAAACGCCGGAAGACCCGGATCTCGTGGACCACCCGGAAACCCTGGATCACCAGGAAATCCCGGAAAAGATGGAGGACCAGGAGGGCCAGGCCGAGATGGACACCCTGGAGGCCCTGGAAAAGATGGTAGCCCCGGAGAAAAGGGATCCGATGGTTTCCCCGGACACGACGCCAGCTACTGCCCATGCCCCCCACGTTATTTCAACAAACGATTTTAAAACCCTTTCAAAACGTTTATCTGGAACTATTCAATATTGTTCCAATAAAGGGTTCGCATGCAAGGGTTATGTTTACACAGAATGACACGAGAAAATGGCTCCTCCCTAAAATAATCTCTTAAGATGATAAAGTGTGCAAAGTGGAACAACAGTGGCAATTCAAAATGATATGCGAATCTAGACGTACCCTTTTTGAGTTCTGCAAGTTAGAGTTTTTAAAGCTTAGAGGTTAAGCAAATTTAGTTTACCGATTATACACGAAAATATTTATGACTTTAATAGAAAAACAACAACCAATATGTACAACACGAAATCAAAAAAAGCTATGTACAGAGCTACAGACAAACATTCAAAAAACTTCAACACAACTAACTAACAGAGATCATTATTTTGACCAAATTTGTTGAACACGCTGCTTTTAGTAGTTGACGAGACTTCGACCATGGCGAGAGGTGCCAATTTGATTTTCTGGACCTAAGCAAACCAAATAGAACAAAGAATTTTAAAAAAGCTGAAACTTACTTGTAAGAGGCACATACATGACATGTTCGACGATCTTCTGTGTAATTTTACCATCCATCGTCTTGTCTACTTGAAGAAATACCTAAATTACCTTTAAATAAGTAATGTAGGAATGATTCTACTTGAGCACCGTGCTCACGTCCGACTGGTATGAGCATTCGTCCTCCACGGGCCATTTGATCGATAAGCTATAAAAAATTTTTTCACAGATTTCTTGCAAAGTTACCGGTTGTGGAATCTCTTCAGCGGCTGCACCAACATGAATAGCGTTGTATCCACCATCAACAGGGTGTCCAAGACGACCATCGCCAACGATCAGCTCCACTACTCCATTGTCCAACAGGTCCCTAAAACAACAAGTTGTCCGAGATAACAAAATACAATTACTTATGATTCTTAGCGATGTTTCTTCTACTGTCCTTGACGAGCTGGTCAATGTGCTCAATTCCAACTGCTTTTCCATCAGGCTCGACCTAAACAAAACATGCAATTCAAAATAAATCTAACAAATACCATAAGTCCAAAACAGGCTGTAAGATATCCGCTACCCGAGCCAACATCGAGCACTTTTGCGCCAGGAACGAGAAACTCCTTCAAGCCTTCGAGCGCATGTGCGTGCTAAAATAAAATTGTAGAAGTGACAAGAATTATCAAGGTTAGATTTGAGATTTATCCCATAAGCAGCTCAAATCTTAAAAAGTTTACCATATGAGGAGCCGATATTGTTGCGTTACATCCGATTTGTTGAGGAGCATCTTCATACGGATCGCGAGTCGAAAAATCATCGCGATCAATGGCCAACATCGTTTTGATTGGGCGCTTGGACTTGAGGACGCCCGAAACTAAAGAGAAATATTGCTAAAAAACCAAAATCACAATATATTATTGCTTTGAATCTCACATCATTTAATAAACGGCATTTGGAAATAAATTCAGGATAAACGTTGAAATAAAATATGTTTAGACAACCTTAATTTTCTAACTTAAAACCTGACTTAATCCGACTCAAGAGCAGACTTTATAAGGTAGGATGAAACATATTGTTTAAAAACCTCACGTTTCAAATAGTTGACCAGCTCGGCATTCGTTGTTCCGCCACCGCGATGCCACATTGTTGAATTTTCGATAAAAGCGTTGACACACTTTAACTAAACGTGAAAGTTTAAACAAGTTACACAAAATTTGAAATTAGACAGTACAAAAGTGGTCGAAAAAAGAGAATATTTGAAAAATTTTGAAAGCTCAAAGCTGAAACGAAACGAGGGAAATTTCTAGGACGAAAGAAAGAGGGTGTTGACAAAAAGTGCACGTTTCTTTTCGCTTTTTTTGCGCTTTCTTGTTTACCGATTTGCCCTTTGTTGGTGGTTGTTGAAATAATTTAGTAATGCATTCTAAATCTGCTAAAGCTTAAAAGTTGTACAAGCGAAGGGAAACTTTGTTCAGGAAAACCTGCTCGTTCAAGAATGAAAAATGAACTGGAACGTGATTTAACTATTTTATACCCAATAACTCCTGAGAGGTTAATATTCAATCAGATGGCTGAATATCTTTAATCTAGAGCCCATTTGCAAAAGTTAGTATTTAAATAAAGCTTTATGTTCTCTCGAATTATGGGAGTGGGACAAATGCGACCTTTTTTTTGCGCACCCGGACATTTGCGAACCTTTTTTTCCGCACCTTGCCCATTAGCGCACCTTTTTTCGCGTTTTAAAAAGCTCTAAAACCTAATATTAACCAGTTTCTATTCCAAATGTTGTTCTAGGTAATTTTAGAACGTAGAATCGAAATTTTGACATATCAGAGCTTGTGGAAACAAACAGATGGAGTTATACAAAGAGAAAAATCGACAATTTTCTGTAATTTGATCTAGCCCTTTTGTCTTTCAAATTGGTTCCACACGCTCTGTTACGTCAAAATTTGAATTCGACACCCTCAAATTACCTAGAAAAACAACTTTTGGAATAGAAATTGGTTAATATTAGCTTTTTAGAGCTTTTTAAAACGCGAAAACAGGTGCGCTAATGGGCAAGGTGCGCAAATGTCCGGGTGCGCAAAAAAAAGGTCGCATTTGTCCCACTCCCCTAGAATTATCGTTCTCTGTATAGAATCGCAAAAGATATCCGCGGTGGCTGATTTTTGTGTAAACAATTTGAAAATGCAATGTATAAAAAACGTGTTGGAACACTATCATGGACAAATATACTTTTTAATAGAAATGGGTAGATTTTGAGGGTTTTGCGAATCACTTTTTGTGAAATTAAACCTTGGGAATCTGTGCGAATCTTTGCTCAAATGAGTCCTTTAAAAGTTTAACATCGCATTTTCTTTCACTTCAGTATGCTGGATTAAAATAATCATCCGTGACAAGGCTGTGTAACTTTTAAATACTCATATTGAAGTAAACGCTACTCTGACTGATTCAGATGCAGATATTCAGCAACTTTAATAGCTTAGCAAAGCTTAGAAACGCAATTACAAGTCAGATTGTTCGAGTGAAGTATTTTCAAACTTTCCCCTCACCCAAACACTTTGCCATCCTGCAATCCATTAGTTTCCTTGTATGCAAATCATCTCAAAACCGTCTCATCGCCAAGCATGACCCGTGTTCTATCTGGAAATGTATGCGTAAGTTGATACGCCTCTGCTTTTTCAAACAGCTCATCCCTTCTGTGAGAGTGGGGGTCTGTGCCCTTCACCCCTTTCCTTTCGATAAGCAACTCTCCTCCCGTCAAATGTTTTCCTTAGATAACCACGAAAATTTTTTTGCATTTTCGTTTAAGATTTTTTTTTCCTTTTTCATTTACAGTATTATCATTTGGCTCATTGACAGGGCTATAGGGTGTGATAAGTGTTCCGGCTAGAGATGGGGCTTGTGCAAGACGGTGGCGGCACTTCTGAGGACTTTCGCTGACACCGATAAGGGTCACCAAGAACAAGAATCCACGGATTGTTGTGCAAACATGTCTTACCATAATTGAAAGGAATCTATGTGTGATGCCGCTTGATGAAGAATTTCAACAAAAATTCAATAAAAATTTCGTAAACTAAGGCCAATTTGACGGTAGCATGACGTACAGTTTTAAGCCTCTTTTCCAGTTTGGAGTTTTGATAGGAAATCATTCGTTTCAGCACTTCAAAATGCTATTATTAATAAAAGGTTTTACTTCTGCCCTCAATTCTTTATTTATATTCAATTTTATTTATAATTCGTCTCATTTTGCACTTTACTGTAACTTTATGACTACAGTAAAGTGACGTGAGATTCACTGTAACTCTATGACTTTATAGAAACCCGTAAACTATAGCTATAGATGGACATTTGACTCAATATTTTAAGCCTAAAATCTCCCAAAGTAGGAATTATAAAGAATTAGTTCATTAGTTCTGAATAGTTTACAATTAGAAGATAAAGTTTTCAACTTCATTAACGCCTGCTTTTGGTTAACTCCTTATGTTTTTGTTTTCAAAAATGACCAAATACAAATATTTTTAGCATAAATCTCTTATCCTCTTTCAAAACTTAAAAGTCCAAAATCCTTTTCCCCACTTATGACTAACTCATTCCGTTCAACATGCCCGTTTTTTTTCCTCCGGTTCAGAGTAGCATTCTCATTTCCCATTTCCCACTTTCTCACCGAGCATTTCCCCCCTCTTAATCCCAGTAAACGATAACAAAAGAGTGAGTCCGTTGTGTGTATCGGGGTCTCCTCCCTGTCCCTCCCCTTCCCTTTTCTCCCCTTCTCCTCATTTAGCTACTTAGACAAGATAAAGGAATTATTTTTGAGAATGCTTGTGATGAACGCAGCTCTCAAAATTCTTTTTTTTTTGGGAACAGCACCATGGCGCCAAAATGCTTATTTTTAAGTCGCACAAAGTTGGGATTTAACGGGCGGAATTTTTGGGCTTATTAATGAGTCAGTTGAATGGTTTTTTGCCAATTTTTTAGTTAAGATTACTAAATTTTGAATGGAAAATGAAATGAAGGATGATGACTAATGAGTTCCTTTTACAGTTCTTTATCTAAGCTTCTCTAAAGTGTCCAAGTGCTAAAGTTTTTAGTAAAGCTGCAGAAACAGATTTTTAAATCAGTTCCTAAATTCCCAATTCTTTGTTTGCCTAAACCTTTTACAACTCGCAGATGGTCAGAAAGTGATCAAAGTCGAAATTCGATACCTCAAGAAAAGTTACGTGTCGACGAGTGACCGGGGTCACATAATTTTTGTTTCTTTTTCTGACGGAAAGACGCTGAATCGCACCGAGAGCAATAATATTTGACGATTTGGCGGAAAGAGGCTTTAGGCGGTGAGCATGATACATTTATGAAGGCGGCACCATCAAGGCACCCTTCCACCACCTTTCTCTCCAATCCACACGGATCAGCACCACTGCAAACAGCAAAGGTGAGCTTTTCTCGATTCCGATACAAACCAATCCCGCACCAATCCCTAAAGCTGGATTAAAGGTTCTGGGCTACGGTAGAAAGATCGTACTTTATACCGTAGATTCACAGCAAGCTAAACTCTTTTTCTGTAAAGAATCCTTTGTACTTTGGATCTTTGAATTCTTTGAATTTTTCAATATAAACTAATTCTTAGTACTCAAAGCATTTAGCTTTAAAGATCAAGTTTAAAAAATATTCTTATAAGTTCCTAAAACTTTAGAAAAGCTACTGGACTGTACTGTAACTGGCTGTACTGTAACTGGCTGTACTGTAACTGGCTGTACTGTAACTGGCTGTACTGTAACTGGCTGTACTGTAACTGGCTGTACTGTAACTGGCTGTACTGTAACTGGCTGTACTGTAACTGGCTGTAACTGGCTGTACTGTAACTGGCTGTACTGTAACTGGCTGTACTGTAACTGGCTGTACTGTAACTGGCTGTACTGTAAAGTCTATAAAGTTTTGAATCTTCTTAATTTTAATAATATTGAAAGCCTAAATCTTTTAATATATTATTAAACAGTTAGTTTTTAACTATTCTCATTTCAAAACCATTTTCTTTCTGGAATTTTCTTTTTACGAAATTCCCTATTCTTATCTATCCCCAGCTGAGTTGAGTATCCGTCCCTCTCGCTACCGTATCCCTTCACTTCCCATCATTCCTTTCCATTCTCTTTTCTTATCTATCGCCTGACAACTCTCCTTCGGTTGCTTGCGTTGGCGCTTAACTGGACCCCCGAGAAGCGTTAGGACCGAATTTGTCTTTGTGTATGGAGGTTTTGGCGATCATCCTGCAGTGTAATAGCTCGATCGGGTCATCTCGCCGATAAAACACACACACACAAAGCATGCTCTCTTTCCATACAAGAACCCGATTGGGCCATAAACACCTTTCGATTCATCTAAACACAACGGAAAACAATGCCGATAGATTATGTTTATTGCGGGTGGCACATGGCCTTATAGGAGAAAGTTGAAGGTGTTAGAGATTGAGATTTAAATTTGTTAGCTACTCTTGTGGTTAGAAAAGTCCAATCATTTATCTTATTCTAATCTATTATTGTTGAAATTTGAGCTTAAAAGACTCAATAACTTTCCAACTTTTAATCAAAATTGTTAGAGATAAATCAAGTATTCAATTACTCTAAGACAACAGAAAACAATGCCGATAGATTGTGTTTATTGCGGGTGGCACATGGCCTTATAGGAGTAAGAACCGTGGTCCTGGTTAAGTCAAAGTTAAGTCAAAGATTCTATCCTTTAGAAAAGTACTTATCTATTTCAAAAGGTACACAGCTTTTAAAATTTTAGCTCAACCACAAAATTTGTGTAGTGGTGCAGTCGACAATTCACCATTTCCTGTCTTTTTCTTTTCTTGAAGGCAGCCAACACCCGGCTGTCTTTCCGAATCGCATTGCGTGCCGTAAAATATTGAAATCGCACCCTAGACTTAGATCCAGAAAATGCTTGCTATTAGTATTTCTAAAGTTTAAAGAGCTTAAGTAAAGTAACCAGGTAAAGTAACTAAGTAAAGTTCAGTAAAGTTCTACTTTCCCAGTAAAGAAAGAAAACTTTCCGTTAAGAATGACCCTATATATACCAGACGAGTATGCCAGAGCTTCTTGTATGCTATATGATCATGCAAGAAGAATTAGTCCATTAGTTCTGCAT